CCTTGAAGCCAGTGGGTGCTACAGCAAGTCTCCTCCTGCAAACCACCTCTGCTGCTTGGAAAGCCAGAACTTGAACTAACATCAAAGGGCCAGTTCTTGATCTCTCACCCAGCTGCTCACCTAAGGAGCTCACCTGCTCTATCCTTAGCTGAGAAGCAAGAATCACAAAATTGCAGCATCAGAACAAAAAATTCAGGTGCTGAAGACTTACACTTCTAACTTTGCAAGGGTAATGTTCTGACTCCGCTCTTGACATGGAATTAGATTCAGCTCTTTTTAGAAAAAGAACTCCCAGAAAAAAATTATTTTCTAAGATATTGTTATGCTTCTAGAAAGACAGAATGTGACATTTTTATTTCCTTACTTAATAGTTCTTTATGATCAAATTTACATTACTTTTTTTTCTAGATATCGGCAAAACTGCATTTTAAATTCTTTCATCGCTTACAACATTTCAAAAACATTAAAACGTTTGCAATATAAAAAAAAATAGCTATGCATAGTCCAAGTTTCAAATGTGTTAAAGAAATGTTAAGCCTGTGTGTCTCCTGCTAGTCCTGTGGCAATCCAGCCACAGCAGTGCCAACCAAAAGGTAAAAAAAAAAAAATCCACTTTTTTACAGCAAACTTAAACATTGGTTCAGTTGTTTGTGCCCTGTTTCCTTTACTTCTTGTTGATTATCCTTGTGTTGAGAGCAGTAAAACTTGCTCACCCACAGCAGCTTACGAAGAGGATGTCTGAAGGCAACCAACCCAGGGGAGAATTCAGCACTTCAGAATGTAATGCAATTAGTGACTCTCACTGTTAAAACCACATTTTCTACTATTGTAATTTATCTAGTGTCAGGTTCCAGTCTCCGTTTCCTGTTCTGCCTTCCTCTAACGTTAGAGTCCTTCTCTATGCAGTTTTAATTCCACATTAAGGTACTTTAACCTCCAAATCTTCCCTTGATACTCTGCAGAGTTCTTATGTTTCTCTCTAAAAGTCTTTTTTCTCAGCCCTTTAATTCTTCACAGCTTTCCCAGGTTTTCACATGAAAAAACAACACTGCACAACACCTCACCCTGCAGTTCCATGGCATTGATCCCACTTACCCTGCGCTACACCATCTCCAACTCACCCCTTGTGGTTTTTTAATACTTCCCTGTGGCCAGAAAATCCCTGTCCAGACCAAATGCTTTCTGCGTCTTTCATTCTGTGAATTGCCAGCCCAAATTCCTTGACTCTGTTGTCCTCTTCCCCCCTTTCTGTGAGCTGGTGCTGCCTGGAAGATGAAAGCAACACCCCAATCCCACTCCCTGAGCAAGAGGACAGGGAAACTGGCCACCTGGATGAGATAGAGATGTTGGGGCTGGATATTTTATATTTTACTCTTCTATTCTGAGCTGATACTAAAACCAGAATAGGAGTGGAATAGCACGCGCTCACACAAGGAAGAAAAGTGGATTTTAGAACCAAAAGTCACAGGTATGTCCTATTCCCAATGTAATCCAAATGAATGGGACACAGCTGGACATCTGCGATCCTAAAAGGTCAGAAACATCCAAATCCAGCTAACAGCCTGTATTCTTTTATGTTCTGACATACACACAACTGCTTCACACTATACCCCATGCATCTATAAAAATGAGCATTTCAGGGAATCAGGCAAGTTCCACACTCCTTGAAAAACTGCTTTGACAGGTGGGGAGAACCCGGGCATAGGCTGGTTATCCAGAATCACTGAAAGTAGCTTACAAATCCCGTAATTCAGGGAGGAGGATGCTTTATTTTCCTCTCTGCTCTCAAGAGAGCCAGGGTTACAAAGCAGCTCCAACACTTCACAAGTTGAGAAGACACGTTTCCTCCAGACCCACCACCCCTGGGAAAGCAAAATGGCAGCCCTCAAGAAACAGTGTTTTGGGGAGGTCTTCAAACACCCAGATATTACAGGAAGCAGGAAATACTGCAGGATTGACTCCAGAACAAGTATAACAAGTCACTTTCTATTTTTTGATGTAGTTTTCAAGGGAAAACTAAGGTTTCTCCAAAAGAGTGACCTCGTAGTCTCTGCTGCATCCCCTTTGCAGCCCACCAGCCAATAGCCTGCCTATTAAGCAGGCAAGCAACAATAATTGTGTTACTCTTCTTTGAAAATTCTTCATAAAATCTGAATCAAACCAACATCATCTCCATTGCTTTCTGAGCCCCGTCCCGACCAGCTCACACAGGACAGGTACCTCATGCTTGACCTCTTGGCTGGAGCACACTTCTGGGCCTCACCCTACCACAGAACATACTTGGCTAAAACTAGCATTTTTAAAAGTTGGGTGGTCCCTCGGCTGTTCTACTGAATCTACTGATTCTACTGAATGGTGCACGCTTGCACTGGGTAGCAGAGGTCAGCTTTGCTAGTTTTCCTCACCAAAGACCTTCTAAGTCAGTGGGGGTTCAGAGTGTACCAGAACCTGGTAGGCCCAAAAGCAAGACTTGATTAATCCTCCAGGAGAACACTCGCTGCCAAGGCTTTCACACCAGCTTCTGGCTGCTGAGCAGGAGAATGTGAAGAGCTGGAAGAGCAGAGCACACACCTTCAAGGCAACCAGGGCTGTGGCTAGCAGAAGGGTGGATGCTTTTTCCAGGCAACTGCTCAGACACTTCACAGGTAGAAAAGATGCTGTAGAGCCAACAGCTCAAGTAACCTGACCATTGAGTATGACACCAAAGCCCTTGTGCAGGTTAAACACAATGAACTTTTTAAGGTATGGGAACCCAGCCTAGAATAAATCTTGAGAACCTACAGTATCAGCACCCACTGACCAACTTGAAGTAGCTAAGTAGCATCAAGACATCTCCCAGAGTAGAACAGACTATAAAAACTGCAGAGAAGACCATTCTACTGCAAAGTCTTGGGGACTGTAGAGCCTCAAGGCACTCTCAAGCTCCAGGTTACATGGAGAAAGCAGGTGGCCAAGATGACACAAACTAGTATCCCACCATAGCTACCAACTTCCTCCTAACCAAGGTTTTAAGCTCACCCCATTATCTGAGATAAGTTGGTTACTTTCAAGAGGTGGTCCCATAGCTCAAAATGCCTTGAACGCTTTCAAATCCCCACCCCAAAAATCAAGACTGGCGCTTCCTATGGGCTGCTGGGGCATTTTCCCTCTCTGCAACAGGACTGTCCCTTAAAATTGAAGGGGTCTTTGGTACCAACTCGGCTTTAGGTTAAAGGAGGCTGCTTCTCAAGGGTTTTTTACCTTCATTCATCTGTACATGCTGCACACATGGAAAGAAAATCTATGCATAACCAAATCTGATATTAAAAAGGATCAAATTAAAAAACCCCAAGTGTTACAAGATGTTATTAAGTGCGTTTCTTTCTTAGTGATGTTAAGATGAAATAAATAGAAGAGACCATGTAATATGTTTGTGTTTTTTTGAATACATTCCTTCTCTTTTTAGACAGCAAATAAAAACCATTTTAAATGCTTTCCTATCATAGAATCATGGAACTGTCTAAGTTGGAAGGGACCTTTCAGATCATCTAGTCCAACCATCAACCTAACTGATAAAAACCATCACTAAACCATGTCTCTAAGCACTGTGTCAACTTGTCTTTTAAATACCTCCAGGAGTGGTGCCTCAACCACTTCCCTGGGCAGCCCATTCCAATGTTCAGGAATAGTGACAGTCAAGAAGAGAGGTAATAAATCCCACGAGTGCACTGGGAAAACTCAGAATTTCCTCCACTCACCATGGTATACGGACAATCTTTCTCCCAGGAAGTTAAATTATTCCAAATTTGTAATTCTGAAGCATTTACATCAAATCTGTAAGTGGTTCTCTGTGGGTAACATACTATTCATGTGAAATACATGAATGTAAAATACTATACATGTGAAATACCTTATCTTTTTTTATACTCGAAAATTGTTTATTCTGCTGCACTCCCAAACAAGGAGGGGATAAATGGTCTACTCTATTTCTAGAAAAAAGATACACCATTTAGGCCAGCATAGAAACTGAGAAAAAGTCTGGTTACCACACGTTCTTTGGCAAACCTGGAGATTTTGCACAAGCTGTTAACAAGCAGGATGTGTAATACAAAATAGGGGGGGGGAAAGAAAAATAAAAATCACACTGATAGACAATAAACATTTATTGATCTTTGGCTTTAGAAATTTTCCTATTTTGGATATGGGAAATGCTATATAAAATAATGGAAGGTTGTGTTGTTTGTTTTTTTTTTTAAACCTAGAGTAAGTACTGCAGAACAGTCTATCCTGTCACAGTGCAGGAAGGCGAGGCATGCAGGGTACAGGAGGGACACTAAATTACCGTTAGGAGCATCACTGCAGTGGACATTTGATGTCTGACACGGATCCAGGCTTTACAAACACAAGCGAGTTGATGGGGCAGTTGATGTACAGCAGGTATCACAGTTTCTCTCAGATTTGCCGTGGTACTACCGTTAGCGGCTAACAGATGCAAATTTAATTTTAATAGTGTGTGCATTATCAAAACAAAGTTAAATCGTAACATTTCAACACAACAAACGGGGAGTCAGAAAGTATAACTTGCTTTGCTTTACAAAATCTGCCAATGTGAAAGGAATTCAGGCATTGAGACGACAAAACCCCATCCTTACTATTTTCACATTAATAAAAAGCTGCCTGATACATGGTGACATTAAGCAAGACAAAACCAGCTTCTTACATGCTCTGCAACAACAACAAAAAAAAAGCCAATGAATTTCTTACACATAGTGTAAGGAAATGTTTAGTAAGCTTACCGAGCAAAGTTTCCCAAACTGTGTACTATGTACAGTACGGATTGCTACAGCCACTTTTTAGAGCTAAAAAGCTCAAAATGCTTTTTATAAGCCTTCCTCGGAGGAAGGCTTCCTTTGGTAGATTTGAGTCAGCCACGCCATCTCAACTTAGAAGCACTTCACATTTAGAACGTGTAATTAACTCCAGAGGAGGCACCTGCTGCCTCCTCACTTTTATTTTTTTTCTTTAATTTCCCTGCTGAATCAGACCAGGAAGGTTTTACCTTCAGCTCCCAACATTCTTGGAGGTGGAGAAGCAATTTAAAGTTAAGGGGTGGTTTCACTATTCAGTACCCTCAACAGCATCCTACAGAGCTGCTCCTACAAAGTATAACCTGTGCCTTTTCTTTTGGAGCCGTGCTGCTGGGTGCCAGCCAGCCACCTACCTTATAATCCAGCTCTTTTGTACTCTTTCTGCCCCCAAAAAATCCACATGGATGTTGTGAACTTGAGTACAACCTTTTCTGAGCTCATGCAGAAGGACTTACCTGGCTGAAGTCACCCCTTTCCCCACACAACTCAGGCATGAAGTGACACCCAGCACATCACTACAGAACTTCCTTAAAAGTCAACCTTTTAGGAATTGTTAAAGTCCTTTCCCTAAAAAAAAGAGAACTGAATGCATAGCTGGCAGGGGGTGTTACATTACCAGTCTAGTGGGAAAAGCTCTCAGATTACCATTAAATTAACAGGGATGGAAAAGGTTTCTTCAAAATCTTACTTGCCTCCATTGTGTAATAACCCATAAACACACACGGACATTCTGCAGGACCAAAGCTCTAAGGAAACACTGATTTTATAGCAAACCCCGTTTTTAGGGTTTATTTCCAAAAGTCAACCTTCTATTATGCAGCAAAAATAACTACAAAGGTACACATGACAAATTCAAAGCATGTTCTTCCAGAGACCACCCGCGTTTAGGCACTTTAGTCTACGGGATACAAAAAGAATGCGACGTTACTGTAGGTTGTTTATTATTTGTAGTAATTGTACCTAAGCGTCATCCACACCGACTTTAAAAAAAAAATAAAAATAAGAATAAAATCAACCACCAAATGGATGCCCACAAACCCCCAGCCCTTCCGACGTGTGCCGTGCTCTCCTGTTCCACAGACCCCGATGAATCTCTACAAGCACGTGTTTCGAACAGCCGGTACCGCGCCGCCGGTCGGGACAGGTCAACACAACCCAACAACCACTTGACACCATCTCCACCATCAAGCACGACAGTCTCAATACTTGTAAAGCTGTAGCTACAAGAAAAATTCCGCATTTTAACAGCCATTGAGCAGTAAGAGGAAGCTAGGATTTACATAAATTACATCAGAGTCTTTCCCATTTGGCAAATGTTGAAATCAAGGGAGGGGAGGTTTTTTTTGTTCTTAGGTTTGCTCTAGAGTAGGAAGCACTATGTGCTTTTCACTTAAAAAGAGGAAAAAAGAAACCCCACTATTAATAGAAAACCAACACTGAATTTATGTGTGTTCCCAGCAACAAAGAGACATATTTAAAGTAAAATATTTACAACTTGGAGGATGTTCCCTGTGCAATTGGTAACAAGTCTACCTTACGAGAAGTTTTTAGCTTAAATTATTTAATAGCATCTTTACATTAACATTTGCTCACATAAACAGGAAGACTGAAACATCAGACAAAGTTTCCTGTGATTGCTATTACAGAGTATCTCCCCACATGGATTCCTCCTGGAAAACCTTACATACCCAAAACACACAAGATTGTTGTAACAACGGGACAAAGGAAGAACCGAAGACAGGAAAAATGAAAGCTGTTCATTGGCACGTCATCACATGGGTATGAACCGTACTTAGGAGATAAAATTTTTTGGTGCGTTTTTCTTTGCCCTAGGTTTTTATCAAAAATACTATAAATGTGCATTCTTGAAGCTCAGAACATAAATGAGAAGCAGAGTTTACAGCGAACAGAGGAAAAGAGAGCAAGGTTGACTTTAAGCACAAGGTACCTTAAGCCAGGTTTCAAAAAAACACTTAGCAGCATCATAAAATAAATAGAAATGGCCTACTACTGAGGAGTTTGTAAAAAGCTACTCTCAAAACTCTACTGAGGTGTCTGATTTATAAATAGCAGAGTCAAACGGACAGCATGCTGTTGAGAGAAGTGCTGCAAATCCAAATAAGGATTCCTGACTGATGAGTGATCACTTTGGGAAAAAGTTTGGTATTTACAGATGGATTTCATGCTTCAATATAAAACTGCATACTTATTAATACTTCAGTCTGGACGTCAAGTTTTAAAAAAAAAAATTTAGTGCAGAAGTATTTGACTTCTAGTTGCAGGCACTGATATCAATTAAAAAAAAATGAAAATATGATCATGGTATCAGGATTAAAAATAATTTCCATTAAAAATGCCATTGAAATCAAAGTTATAAAAATACATATACACTGGCATGCAAAACAATGTCCAGTGCAGCATTACTCTCCTGGCAGTCCACAGTGAGAGACTTGAAAGAGTTAAGTGCAGCATATACAGATGTGTCAGTAAAAGCAGCCTTGAAATAACACCTTGGCCCCTCTCTCTCCCCCACAGAGGAGGAAAACCTTCCAGCCCAGGACCAGGAGCAGAGATTAGATGTGCCATCCCTTTCGGTGCGTGCACTGCCACAGCCACAAAGCAGGGCAGACCCTTCCTGAAGAACAAGTTTCACAAAAAAAACCCAAAACAACCCACCAGTCACTCCGAAGCACAGACTGACTACTCTGCATCAGCTTGCTTAACTAGATCAGACACTCGGCTTCAGCGCTCGCTGCCCAGATGCTCTTTAGGGTAAATGTCAGTGAGGTCCAAATATTGCTCTTAATTTACCTTCTGGGATTTTAGGACTTAGGCTGCAGATGCTGAAAATAACAGTCTTATTTACTCACAATGGTAAACATTCACATTTAATATTTGATTTAGGATACAAGTGACCTGCTGTTGCCGGCCTTTACTAAGATTTTGCTCAGCCACAATGGAAAGATTCCTCCAAGAGAACACACAATTTTCTTTGGCCTGATGTTCATTCAACAATTCCATTTTCCCCATGCACTTAATTCTCTGGTCTTAACTAAAACACTGCAGTAACTTTGTAGTAGCAAAATGAACTCGGGTTAAGCAGCTAAGAAATGCACAATTTTTTTCATACAGAAAAGCATGAAGCTTTCAAAAATTGTTCAAAACCTTCTCCGTTTTCCTTTTGAACATAGCTTATTTCTCCAGTGGTCTTTGAGAATAAAGAGGCATGAGGCCTTTTGCCTTGTGGAGCCTTCCAACGGCTTTTAAGATCAGATATTTTAAATTTTCTGTGCAGTAAATCCAAGGCCTCCACTGCCATTTAGATGTAGTTCCTGTGAAAAGTTACTACAAAACTGTTCAAAAGTGTTCCTTTGAGGCTAGCTGGAGTTTCCATACTCACTAATCATCTTATACACTGAGGTTATGCTACCTAATTGTTGTGTTATGTGTCTTGGTGGCATTTTTGCCCATAAGAGAGTTTGACTTTAAAACCCAGGTAAGCTAGGCACACATCTCCATTCACAAATCTTTTAGTATTTGTGACTCAAAGACAGTGAAGAACAACTGCCACAGAAGTTAATTTTCTAAAGCATGTCCTCTCTGTACAAGGATGTTCTCTTGTACTGATGCTACCTGGTTTTCCCCTGTTTCTTCACATGTTGATTCTTATGCAAGAGAAGTCTGGAAGAAGAAAAACTGTGCAGCTAAAAATACCTCAAAACCTGCCAAAGCCTACAGCTTGAGAAGAGGACAAGTGCTGCCTGAGAACATCGTCTGCAAAGTGGAAGAACAAGCTTGTTATAATCCATTCTCCTTTTCCTATTCAACTTCTCTAAGTTCAGAAACCCAAGTAAGCTCATAACCCAAGTGTTACGTCTGGACTTCCCTGAAGTTGCTGGAAGACTTGGATTTATCACTGTCTCAACACTCTGTTCTAAAAGGACTTCCATAATAAAAGTGCAGCTTTTAAACAATCCTTAAGAAGTTTGTTCATATTCCAGCTATAATTCAAAGTTATTTAAACTCTTTAGAGGAAGTAATCCTTCAAAAATAGATTAATTTAAACCAAAACAATAAAAATCAAAATATAATCCTGAACTAATTTAGCCCAGTCGGTTTTGTGTAAGAATGTAGGGCAAAAAAAAGCTATGGACAGGGAAAAAGTCAAGCTGACAAGTCACATTACTAGAGTCAGAGAGAGAGATATGTGCATTGAGGAAGGAAGAAAGTAAGAAAAGCTGATTATTTTTTTTTGTCAAAGGCACCTTTCCTTCTAAAATCTCTCATAAATTAAGTAGGTAGTGGGCAAAAAGCAAGACAAAATGCTTAAAAATCCTGAAGTAAAACTCCTAACCTCTCAGTCATGTTGGACCTGCTTTTCCACTTCTGCAAGATGCTTCTCCCTGCCCTCCCCTCCTTCAGGTGCTGAGAAAGGTCTCCATGAAAAAAAAGAAAAAAGCAAAAGCAGTTGCCAGCTGCTATTTTAAAGCAACTTATTAAAGAAGTGAGCGGGTACTCCTTTGAGGCTTATGTAACATATATGGAAATCAAGACTATCAGGGTTGCTATTTTGCTTTGAAAGTCACTTTTGAGCAGTAGGAAGCGCTGCGCACGACCACAGCAACACACTCCCTCTAGTTCCGCTCTCACCTCACATTTCAAAGACGTTTATTGCTGTATTTCAGTTTTTAATAAGCCTCCTAGACTCACATAAGGATTAAATGGCTCCAAAGAAAGACCATCTCCCACTCAGATCAGACCGCTGACCAGAAGGTCAACCATTCAGCTCTGCTGAACAATGAAAGAGCAATGGCCAGAAGTGTTGATCTTAACTTCAGCAACATGCAGAGGTGCCTATTTTTCACTGTGACCAGTGTGAGGTCTGAAGAATATGACAGCATGAGCTCCTACCAACAGCGCTGCGAAGCCCAGCTACACACACAATTACCTCTGCTGAATGCAATATTGTAGAACTGCAGTTTGCTTTTACTTACGAGCTTTCAAGAATAAATACCTATGGCAACAGAAACTCTGTTACTTAACATTATTTTGCAGTCTTCTCCAATATCCAAAGTTCATTCTTTTTCTTCAGGTTGCAACAACAGGTTACATCTCCTCTACAGTCAGCTGCTTCAGCCAAGTCCACCCTCAGAATCAAATCTGGACTACACTTTTATTTTCCTGAATGAAATACACTGGATACATAACTATAACTTAAAAGCTGGCCCTATTGGTTCTATTAGTGATGATACATCTCGAACTAACAGAAAGTGGGTCCAGTACTGCTGGCCCTCCTCTATTAATCCCAAAGACATTTACTAGGAATGTGTCAAGATCTGAATCCATGAAGTCAGATATTTTTCTTTAGGCAAATTCACACAGTTAAGCCTTTGTCCCCATTAGTCATGAAAAGTTGGCATGAAAAAAAAACCAAAAACAACCCACAAGGCTTGGAGCACCAGTAGCACTGAAATACTACACTGCAATGAAACCAGCAGGATCATGCAAGGTGTTCTCAGACATCCCAAACGCATGCGGTAGGTACTGGCTGGTGCGCACAAATATCTCCCTAGTATCAGTAAATGCAATTTAATAAACTAATAAATAACTTACAAGGCATTCAACACAGTAAGACAGTTTATCCCCAGCTTAAATTCTTGGTTTTCTGCATTCATTGATAGTTTGTTTTCCCATATGGTAGGTTTGCTACATATTAAATATTTAGTTAAGCTTTTCCATTTATAAATGCTTATTATACGCCAAAGCTGTACACAAATTCATGAGAAAAAGAACATTAACATAAAACCAGCTAATATTAGTTAAAAAACCCACTGACCTCTGCAAAGTGTAGTATTAACTTCTTAAAAAAAGCTACTGCATATAAATCCCCATTCCTGTTTTGCAATTACACAAAACATCTGAAAAATTGTCATTCTCTTTGTTTTGCAATGGTTTTCTACGTGGAATCTATCCCTCCAGTTAAGCAAAACTTGTAAAGTCCGTGCTTTGCTCCTCCTTACTGTAGCTGTTTTATCATACAGAAAATCTACTTCTGAAGCCAAGAGATATTAGTTGTTACTATATGGCCAAGTTAACACAGATTAGAGTGGCAAAGATCATCATCTGACAGAGCAGACGTTTGAAGGTTAACAGTTTAAGTAGATCTTTTTCTTCCAAAAGAGCTTAAGTTCTTTAGTATAGCTACGTACCTTTGGAGAGGCACCAGAAACAAATAGCCCTTTCAACTGAACTTTCAGAAAAGATTTAATTTTCATTTCAAATGGGATCTTGAAATTACTAGATACACATACATCCCTCTCCCACTGCCCTGTAAGATACATTCAGTAATTTAAAATAAAGATTCCATATTTAATAACTTCATATATATTATATATTTAATATATAATATATATTTCTATGTACATTACACAGATACATACACTCTCAGTCAGCAGGATTAAACTGTTTTGTTTTGAAAAGTTTGATTGGTGTCACTAATCATCTCCTGTTGTTTGGTTAATTCAATTGAATTTATCTATTACCTGAAAAGAAGAAATTTAAAAGATCCAAATGGAAACCTGTGGATCAGTATTAGCACCAATACAGATGGCCATTACTTCAAAATGACTGCAGGGACTGAAATAATATATTTTTTTATAACCCTCCTCTTACTGCACTAGCATTCCTGCAAAATACTTAGGCAGCAATACCTGTCAGGTCATACACCTATTCCTATGTTAAATTTAAATTTTATACAACTTTCCTTACTGTAATATACAGTATCTCTTTTGTCCTGTTGGATTATTTCATTTTTCCTGGAGAAAAGTGATCGATAGCTATCCAACAGAATTATTTAAATTTTTTTTTAAATCCCCTCTCTCCTTTCATTGTATGGCTCAGTTTCAAGATTTAATCGATAGGCAGCCACCGTCACTATAACCCAGTACCTTTCCAATACAGTTCAGTCACTGACTGTTGATTCTTAAAACACAAAGTTTTGAGGTTGGCTTGCTGTTTATGGAAACCAAGATACTCAGAGGTCGTATCTTTTCAGCACGCTCACTACCACCCGCCACACAATAACGTCAGTCAGTCACAATACCATAATTCATTTAGTTACCTACCATTTGGGTAACAAAAATAACAAACCCAGTTGTGATTTTAAACATTATAAGAATATTCACCCTGAGAACACAGAGGAAGTGTTTAAAAAAAATTCTGATATGTTTTCTCTTCATATATAGTTTTCTTCTTTTCTCTTCATCTCCTCCTGGGTACCTGGGTTTGTATCTAGTATTTGACCTCACGCTCGCTTTGTCAGTTGGCCCGTTCATGCCACAGTCAGGTACTGGTGATAGAAAAGCCCAAAAAGGCTTGTAGAAAAGAGGCAAGCAGCAATCCACCAGGTGAGGAAAGACAGGAGTCCCCGGAACAGGAGTGGAGTGAAAATATTCTTTAGGCTTCCCAAAGCCATTGTTATTTGCACCACAGTTACTTTCATCTTTCCATCAGCAGGTGGAGACTCAGAATAAACTGAACTGGGAAGCAGGCTGTTTTCTACTGGAGTGTCAGAATTCAGTTCCGGGTAGATGCCCCAAGAATAATTACCTGTTAAAAAAAAAAAAAAGGAGTAACAGATTTTTGCAAAATCGAATTCAAGTTCTGTTTTTCCTATCACTCTATAGATCATCTTGGATATATTTTTCACTCACGCACACAAAAATAACATTGAAGTTCTTATAATTTAGTAAATACTAACTGGATTTATCTGCATGTCTTCCTGATCATACTAGTAAGCTATTAGGGTAGGATCCATCTTACCTCTTGACATCCTACCATCTACATCTGATGTAGTTGCCTTGGGACCCCTGTCAGTGCTGGGTATGATTCACCTCACCAGGAGTAACTGTCTACTCCAGAATGGGATAAATCACAGCCCAATAAAGCCTACCTCCATTGACATTTTGCAAGAAGAATGACACGACTGCATGGCAGGTTGTGAGAGAGATCCCTCACAAGAAAAAAAAAAAAAAAAAAAGGAAGGGGATTTAAGGAAGATGTAATGACACCATCAAAGCTTTGTTGGGTTGCTTTTATTAGCCTGAATCAGCTTAGAGCAGTCCTGACACTAAGAGGTTAGAGGAAGTCTGTTACAGGCTTGCCTATGGGATGAATGCATAACAAAATCCTGTCGTAAGGGGAGTCCCGCTAAAAAAAAAAAAAAAAAAAAAATCCCAGAGTGAGATCAGATCTCCCAATAATGAAATGAACTCCGTACGTCACAATTTCCATTCAAAAAGCTCACTTAAGATTGAAAAGCTAAAACAAAATTAATCATTTAACAGATGCTCATAAGTTATGTATTAAGTACTTGTGTATTAAATCAATAATTCTTTATACAACTCACTTTTAAAGTACTTTTCAAAAGATGTATTTCAATAGAAGTAAACAGCTTTATTTTTCCTAATGCACAACGTATCAGAAATAAAACAAACAAATTAGCATATAACTGAAAGATGTCAAAAGCAGGAACAGAAGAGAACAGCTTAAAAGCCACACATCACTATGTTTTAAATAGCAGGAAACTACAATGCATCTCTGTATTACAAGTACTCCCACACTCTAATCCTCTTTAGTAAGCTGAAAATATAAAAGCCCTGTGTAGAACAGGACACATTTTTGTTGATCCAATTTTGCTTACCTAGTGTTTTTAAGAGCAGAGTTGTGTGAAGGAGCATTACCAATGGTGCAACATACTGCAGTGCAATTACACAAAGATAATAGAATACTCGAGCCACCTGGGAAAACAGAAGAGTAATTCATAAGTTCTGGATGATCAAAGTAAACCTTTATGAACATATCTAGGAAAAACAAGCAATTTACTAAAAAAAAAAAAAACCCAATACTTATGCATTAAAGCTGTTTTAAAAGTTTTCTAGCACATCTTGGCATGCAAGATTTTCTTCAAAAGACCTAATGAAAAATATCTCATAACGAACTCTAGTTGCAGGACATTTACAAATCTAAGTGCTGAAAGGAAATAATTAAAAGCATCAGTTCTGTTAAAACCAACAGAAACAATTTGACTTCTAAAAACTGTATGTCATCATTCAAAGATTCCTGTTTCAATATACCAGAATCAAAGCTAAATGCATATTTAATTTTTAAAGTCCCTAGTGATTTCAAACTAAACCCTGTTTAAAAAATGAAGCAGCAGTCACAGTTCAAAGCCTCAGAAAAAGTAAATTAAAGTTTAGTTAATATTGCACTTCCTTTTCCAAAGCAAGAGTTTTTTAAGATACTCAACTGTGAAACACCAATATTTTAAAAACAATGACAAGATGACTTTTCATTAATTGTTGATCAATAACAATTTAAATGGTTTTTATTTCAGGGATACATTATGGTTCATTTAGATCCACTCAGATTTAACCTTCCCCCTGCTGCCAACTTGTTCCATCTTTCTCAAGATTGTTACATTACATATTTTATATAATATTTTATATAAGCTATTGACCTAACAGACTGGACCAAATAAAGGAGGAAAAAAAACCTCATAAAATCAATAGCAAAAAAGCAATGAAATAAAGCTAACTGGATTTTAGAAAAGAACAGAATACAGGGTGACAAAAAAAGACAAAGGCAGGCATGACATTTTTGGAAATACCTCAGAGGGCTTTGTGATGAGCAAGCATCAAAAAACTAACATGAGAAGAAAAATTAGTAAGACAGTGCCAGAAGAAAATGCATGAGACAAAAAGTACTGTAAGATAATTGATGGAATATGATAAAAAATAAATTCAAAAGTAATGATCACTGTCAGATGACAGATAGGAAAGACTTTACTGGCAAAAGTTCCAGAAGATTAAAGCAGACATGGCTAGTAAAACAAGATGGGACTTCATTTAGGGGCAATGGCATTTTCAAAGAGGAGACTAGTAACTAGGCTAGTGAACTTGAGAGTGGTCTGAGAGCATTAAACATTTCTCAGTTTATCCTAGAATAGAACCACCTCATCTTAAATTTTGCCTCAATTTAAAAATCATAGTTGGGATTAGGTAACAATATTTGACCCTTCTATCTAAATCCAACTCCTTTTTCCCTCCGCCATGTAGCTACAGATCACCCTCCCCCTGTGGACTCCCCCAGATCTATCCATGCTGAACAGAAACACGTATTTGTAAGGAACAATTAGGGATCTTTTACAAGAATGTCCAATTAACTTAAGACAAACCATCTGCACAATACAGATGATACACCTCTGCATATTTTGGTTTGCAGAATTTCTCTAGTGTTGCTATTTTTACAGGAGATTCAGTTCAGGAAGCTTCATTCAGATTTCAGCTCCGGTGCCAAAGACATAAGAAATGAAAAAAAAAAAAGCATTTTTACAGATAGAACACTCAAAATATGTAACCTGAGCCACCAGCATACTTACCATTTTCTGTAAATCAACCATACTGATTCTGCCAGCTTCCTTTTTCATCTGATCTACACTTTTCTGGGCTAAATTCAGATAGGCCTGTAAATGATGACGCATCATAGCCAACCGTAAAGCACACAACAGGATTATAATCCACAACCTCACAGTGTCAAATGTATCTTCTGACATTCTGTGGATAAAAAGGAAGAAAACAAAGGTAATACTGTTTTCCAAAGGTCACCTACTGCTATGGAGTTATTTGCTTATATCATATGTAAAGAAATCTTGAAGCATCTTGTCAAAAATGCTTAACACAAAATCTACAGTTATGAAATTCATGTGGAAGTAATATTCATTTTTGTTCTCCAACTTCTCTCTCTACTGCTACTTCCTAGTGGCCTGGTTACAGCAATAGATCCAAATTAGTACCCATTTGTAAACGAGAACAGCTCTTAAATGCTTAAGTTCTGAGTAATGACAACAGTACACTAAAAACCAAGCTTGCTCAGGTAATTACACATTTTGAGACACACAGTTCTAGACAGCAAATGTGTGCTTCAGTTGCCTCAGATACCCCGTTATAACACAGCCCTCATTGTGAGACAAACTGAGGAACAAAATACACGTATTTGCAGTGTTTTATGTAATAGTTCAGTGGTCACAGAATCACCTTAAGAAGCCCATCTTAGACCTAGAAAGCCATAAAAGCATCAACCAATCATATCTGTTAAAAGGCTATTTGAATACTACTGTTTTGAATTATCTAGACTAATAGTGACAATGACAATCACCTATGCTACCTATAAAATATTTATTTCAGACATTGCTCTTCACGGTTGGACAAGATGATCTTTAAGGTCCCTTCCAACCTAGAAGATTCTGTGATTCTTCCTAAAAATTCTTTCCATTTTTACTTTTTGAATATTTTACCTATCAATTCCATATGCACTTCATCTACACATAGATCTTAAGACAAATCACATAGGTCAGTTCTCATGCCAATGTACCCCGACCGTCTTCAGTGAAACCACTCCTCTCCTACACCAATATTTAAGATACAAGGTTTCAGAAGGTGGCAGTGAGGTGGTATTCCACGCCTAGGAAGAACAACCCATCTCTGCCAAGGAGATGCCAGAAGATAGCAGCGTTTTAGGAACCACCATCTTAGCATTCAACACTCTACAACTCACTCTTTTTTTCCCCGAGTAACAGAAGCTCTTTAGAGCTCAGTTGCAACTTCTACAATATCTTTGAAATCAGATTTATTAGATTTAAAGTCTTTCACATTTCTATGGTCTTCACAGAGCACTAAGACTTATGTTTTTGTTCTCGATACCCCAGAAAGAAGAATTTTTAAAGGGATTCTTACAAAGGGACACTCTCTTTGCCCAAAGGTGGGTTCATAATGTAGTCCTTAGCGATTGGTTTTACCCACAGCAGAACCATAAATAAAGGTGCCAAGAAGTTTATATGTAGCAACGTTCTGAAAGAAGAAAGAAAAAAAGAAGTTATTAAATACATACAATTACCATCCTGTTGAAGCTGGGGTTACAGATTCAAAAGGAGAAATTCAAATTTTAAAATAGTTGGGAGAAAGGTAAATAAGAAAATTACTTCCCTATTTTATAGGTATGACTTATGTTTCAACAGAACAGTCATACTACATACTGTGAAATCACACTTAAGAATATCTGAAAACTTGATTTATTCCAAACAATCTAACCAAAGAGCCAGCTGCATTATGCCACGCTACAGTAAAAGTTGTTGAAAGTTTCCTTATGATGGCATAACACCAAACTGCACTAGCTGTTACAATCTAGAGAGTCACTCTCAAATGGATAACTGATGGGAAATATGTTGCTATATTACTTTTTTTTGCTTTAGTAAAAATGTACTCAGATTCATTTAGGCTATCTGTATAGACCAGAGGAAGAAGTTTTCAGAGGTCAAATTTCCTAGTTTAGTCTAGTTTTTCACTTAGGAACCTTAACTAAATGCAACTTGGTACTTATATTCAATTAAAGATAAAAAAGCCAGCACAGCTATTCCATTTTAAGAGCATTGTACAAAACGGCACGGTTAATGTAAAAGTAGTCTTCTTTTCTAATCTTTGAGTACAAAACAAACAGCAGGATTTAAGAAAAGGGGATAGTTTTCTCTGAAAAAAAATCTAGTTTTCCCTGAAATTAATATCCTCCTTCATTTCTGAACTCCACTATCCAAATCCTTTTTCATTATTAAAATGAAACAAAAACAGTTGAAGACTTCAGTGCTGTAGTTCTGGTGGCTAGTGCAATGCTTCCTCACTATAAGAATCAACGTGTCTATACTTCCATCTCCCACCAGAGTGCTTCTACAACATATAAAAACTGAGGTAATCAAAAGTTATTCTAAAGAACACAAGACCTTACTGATTTCAAACTATCAAGCTTCCCAAAACCATTAAAATGTTGGAATGTTTCAGAAGATGTCATCACATACACATTTAAATCATTGGTTTCAGACGAAGGAATAAGCTCTGCTAGTTATTCAGTGTTGCTAAGGAACACAAAGGAATCAAAGTACAGTCCAAAGCACTTCACTAACTCATGAAAGCATTTTACCTGAGCTTCTACTTAAATAAGTAACTCCTACTGAGTTAATGGACTGGAGTGTGCCAAAGGGTGGCAAGAATCCCTTTCTGTTTATTTGAGAAAGACTCTTGAAGCAGGCTCTGGAAAACGAGGGAATGTGTACGAAAATGGTACAAATTGATTAGGAAGACTCCAAAATAGATGCAGAGAAGGATACTGATAGCTAAAGGAAAAAATCAAACCAGCTGTCAAACCCCAAAATGGACACCAGATTACTTTTCTTCGATTTACCCAAAACCCTTACTCCCTATACACAAAAAAGAACCACATGAATAATTTTGAACATGTTAGTGAAGTGGCAAGTTCATCATTAACCTTTACTTTTTTTATTCCCCACTCCTCCCCCACTTTTTTGGTCAGTCTTCCCTGTAAATTAAGTCTCCCATTCTGTAATAGAATGGGAAAGGGAGCTTGTCCCCTCTGGTTTTGTTTTTCTTTTAACTTGTTGTTTGTTTTTTTTTCTGTTGGAGCTTGAGGGGTGGTAGGAGTTTTGGGCACATTTAGGGATTTATGTTTTTTGTGGGGTTTTGGTTTTTAGGGGTTTTTTTGTCTAATTTTGGTTTTATGTTTGGTTGTTGTTTTGGTTTTGTTGTTTTTTTGGGTTTTTTTTCCAAAAGTAGACCACATATTTGACTGCATGGAAAGACACTCTTTTCCTGTACCCAAATTAGAGGGCTTTGTATCAGTGACACATCATCCTCAGTTACTACTCCCCTTTAGTCACTGTCAAACAACTGCAGAGTCGATAACGATCTACTCATTGATAAAAACACACCACTAAGGGCACAATCTCTTCAGGCCCGTTAGGATCTATCACTTGACAATGATTCTTTTTTTATAATTGCATTACTTAATTACATTGATATCTGGCAAAGTTTTAATCAATTTAACATCACTTTTTTATTGTTGCAATTGAATAATCAAAGTATTAGTAGGCTGTCGAAAATAATTTGTTTGGTATTGCACAAAGTTACCTTCAACAACCAGTTCCAATATCTTCCAACTTAATGTTTAGATGGTATTTACTTTTCATAACCCCATTCTAGTAGATGTTAATTACCCTTTTGGTTCATGATTAATGAACTTTTGTTTCAGAGAGTTTATATTTCTGCCTAGGATTTCATATCCACAGATGAAGGAAGATGTTTGAAAATTAGCAGATACGTACAGAAAAGGCACATGAAATCTTAAAATACTGAGAGCCATAAAAATCAAAAACTAAGCAGCTTATTTAGCTGAAAAGAACAGATTATGAAGTGACTCAGTCATAAGTCTACACATAGACAGAAATTTAGGAGCAGATACAACAAGCCAACAGCTTGCAGCTATACCTGGATGCATTCAACTACAAGAAGTGCAAGAGTAACACAGAGTGCTTGGCTATAAATTTACCAAGAGTGAAGGACCCACTTTAAGCACATTAATTTTTAGGCTGGGAATTTTTTTAGGAAAATAAAAAAAAAATGCAGTTTGAACATCAAGAATTTTCATATCAGAAAATGTAACCTTTCTTAGGAAAGTGACCACACTAAATGATCACAATAGGCTACGCTGCAGAATCTGTCATTAACGTGTATTAAACAAAGGTCAAAATTTATGACAGATATTTGGAGTTTCTCCCTCAACCAGAGAATACTGAAGAGAAACAGTTAAATCAGGTAAAACACTTTACTACCAAACTCAAGGACAGTTGAAAACAAAAATACTCCTTTAAACTGGTATTAACATCTGATCCATATTAAATATTCTGGGTCATCTTTTCTCCGCATCTTATTGTAAATTTATTAAAGGCATGATGCCCATCTGCAGGTAATGTTGGGAAAAAAAAAAAAAAAAAGAGTCTGTTGTTGTACCTCTGCTTCCTGAAAGTTATCTTAACTTCCAAACAGATATGATGGGGGAAAGGAAGCAGTAAGCAGAAACATTCATGGTGGAGGAGGAAAGGAAAGCTCCTTTAATTGGGACTCTAATTACAAGGCAAAGAAGGGAACAGACTGGCAGAGCAGAAAGAGGCAGGTGGCAAGTCTGCTCAAGATACGGAAAGCAGGCAGCAACAGAAGTCTTAGTCACTACCTTCTTCCTGGAATAGTTTGCTTTGTTTATTTTCAGACATTAAAGACTTAAGACTGAGTAGCATATACCTATGTGCACATATTTTCTCTTACTGTGTTATTTTTTCTGTTGCTAAATTCAGAGCATCCAGATGCATTTGAGCCAGTCGCAAGCCAGGGAATGTCAAAAAAGCACCAATAAGTGAACACAGAACAGCCAGGAACAATTTGAAGGTTAGTTTAGACACAGGACCCCTAAAAGAAAAGAAAGGAAATAAGCATTTTCTTGGGGAGGAAGTTGGGGGGGTGGGGTATCAGAGACTACTTTCAACTCAACAGCATCTAACATTTAATAAAAAAAGCAAACAGTATTCTACAGTTTTACTCTGGAATACTATCATTATTACAAACCAATCAGGAGTTAAAATTAACCAAAAAACCAAAAAAAAACCAAAAAAACCCCCAAGTCACCTATTCATTTCCTATGAAAATAGAAAACCTAGGTTGCTGTTAAAATTGTTAGTAGAGAAGAAAAAAAATAATTTTATAATGTAATTAACAACAAAATATATAACCTAAATCAGTAGTAGAATGAATTTAATGATTGTGTTTTTAAGAGAGGAACAGATGCATCATTAAACTTAATCGGTCCACAACAAAATGGATATTTAAGTTATACTACTTACGTTCTACCTTTAACCAGTAAAAAGATTTATGAAACTGTTATTGCTGATGTTTTTCACAGATTTATCTAAAACATACATGTGGCCAATTAACATGTCTCTTCCAAGTGACTTGTATAGTTCTTTTTAATGGACTATGGACTACATTAAAAAATTACAGAAAAAATATCAAGGATCAACTGAATTACGGAATAAACAAACACTGGATTACACAAAAAAACCAAGTGACATGTAACTAACACAGATTAAAAAGTAACAAAAGCAAATCTAGTGATACACAAGAGTTTTAGATTCTTTCTTAATCTATGTGATACCAACTGCCAAGAGACACCATCATCACCTCAATTACTGCTGTAAACAGCCAAAGCACTGCAAAAGTTCAAAAATAAACACTTAACAGGAATATTAGTACAGAAGTTAGTAAACTTGCAATAGCTTAGGAAAAGCAGAGTGAAGAAAAGCTAAGAAACACATGGGATTCAGTTAAGAGTCTCCCATGAGTTTATTCATAAATGACACGCTAATCTAGTTTGAGGAAACTTCTTTTTCACCAAAATGAAGAGGTTCCATAGCTTCTGCACAATACTTGAGAATTCCCAAGCAAGAAATTCAAAGCTGCAGTGCCACAGTGATTACATACCCCATAAATGCATTTTAGAGAACATGTATAAGGAAAGAATTACAACAGAAATACATTTTCCAATATACAGAGGCTGTCTATGACAGCAATTGTGTATTTATGTAACATCACAAGCTATGGTGTATTCCTTTGGCAGTCCATGCAAATCTTGGATATCCTGTAGCAAGCAGATGTTTTTGCATCATAGGAAAATACCAATACAACCTGAAAACAGGACTGAAGGCCAAAATTTGGTGCTAACACCAAATGTATCAAAAGCTTTAACTGTTTATTTTGTACTCTCATCTTCTTGCATGGCAAAAAAATATTTATCACCTGTTTAAAGCAATCCTCGTAAAGCCGAAAGGAATTACCATGAAAAAATGTTTACAGTTTTGAAATGCATTTTATGAACAATGACCAAAGTGCAAGGGTAGAAACTATCTCCAAACTACAAAGAGAAAACACACATGCAATTTAAGTTACTTGTGAGTGCTGATTAATTATTTTCATTCACCTCTTCACATTACTATAGAGATTATAAGCATGTATATGACAAAAACATGCAGGACAAGTGCTCGCTAAGAAAACCCAAGTGATTCAGTTATAAATGGTCACATAAAACAGAATAAATGTATTTCCAGGAACTTACTGGGATTCCAAACCCTGCTTTTCAAGAAACTGCATAGCACTTTCTGAGAAATTCGAGAATCCTGCAGAGACACATATATTATATGTATTTTATGACAGTACAAATGCAGAACCCCTTTTTTGAAATAAAATGCTAGGTAACAAGTCATATTTTAAACAAGTTTTCTTATGTCTAGCACAACTCTTTCATGTGATAATTAGTATGCCATAATTCAACAAAATTTGATTATTAATATCTCTGATACTAACAAACTTCAGGAACATGAAGAAAATTAACTTTTTACAAACATAGGTATTTTTTTGTTTTTGGTAAAAGAGCTTCGCTTTAGTATGAAAGGCAAAATAGATTAAACATAAAACTGGAAAGCAAATATAATTAACTAACAGTCTAGGCAAAGATTACACTATTTAAAAGAAAGCAGGGAAAACATACAAGCTAACCTTCAGAATCTGCATTCCAAAGCAAAATTTGTTAGAAGTGTATGACACAAAGAGTCCCTTTTAACACAGATATTCTCAAAAACACCTAAAAGACTGGAAATAAAATCTTCCGTGTCATGCAATCACTAGAGCTGTTACAAACATGAAAGAAAGGGTTTACCTGATTCCAGTCCAAACTCTAGATAGTTTTCTGTCACAATGAGAATTGCCATTGCTTTCACGAAGAAGAAAAAACCAAAGGTGACACAGACCGATCTTTCACCTCCATCCTCTACTTTGAAATAATGGGTAGTCAACGAAAACAGTACCTTACTACACAAGAAAAAGGTCAAGGAAAATTAAGTTTGTAAAATAACTGTATTTAAGAATTATAAAGCTGTATTTTGATCATCTACACTAGGGCTGTTCTATGATGCACATTTTTTTTAAAAAAGTAATATGTGTTCAGCCAATGTCAGGTTAAAATTACAGAATACTGGTATAGCATAATCACATAATAAGTAACCAGGAACACACTACTCTGGAATACAGTTTTGATTTAGGCTTACTTATTGCAGCAATAATCACTATCAATCTAGAAGAATTAAACCACAGTTTAAGTGTAAATGATTACATAATCATGTTTCATCAAACCAAAAAAAAAAGACAATCGTATCTTCCAATGCAAAATATTGAGCTACATGAAAAATATTCCATCAAACTAGATAACTCAAGATTTAATTAGTTTCAAAATCCAAAATACTACTTTTCAATGCAACAACTGTGATGGCAGGGAAGTGAATAAACACATTTTTTAACCACATTTTTAACCACAGGGGAGCTACAGGTATTCTTACTGGATGCACAACCCTAAAGTATACAAGCATACAAACAGCAAAACCAGGATGCTCCAACAAGCACTTGTATCAGGAATGGGATAAAATTTCTCAACTGCCACAGGGAGTGTTGACCTGCCTTACAAGAAACTATGACAAACGGCATGGGATTCCTGCTTAGATTATTATGTGACTGCTTATTAAGCAGAAAAACATATGAAAAGATGAAACTTGAATTTCTCTGCTTTCACATGCACATTTTTGAGATTTCTCAGACATCAAACATAGTAAAAGAACAGCATGTTAAGTACTATCTAGGAAATAAAAATACATCCCATGCTCATCTTGGAAAGAAAAAGCCCTGACCTTAAAAAACCCCTATATAGTTTGGCATGATATATCTAGTCCTTTCACATCTAAGTCATCACCTGCTCTGTTATCAAGCTGTTTATAAAATCGAGTTTTCTCCTTTTTAATACATTTCTAAACATACTTAGCTCCAAAGTCAAACAGTAGATTAGAAAAAAATTTTCATTATATATTCTCAACTCTTATCACCATGAACTGCAGCCCATTATAATTGATTTTTTTTTCTTTTTTAAATGGCAGGCAATATCCAGTCCATATTTAAACAAAGCATTTAGAGATCACTCCAGATATTACCTGCTTTGAAAAACCAAAGAGAAAATGAGAAATGAAGATTTTAAGTGTAAACTGTACCCTTTTTTTTCCTGATTATTCAATAACTTATTCATATTCACACTTTTTTAATACTGGAAGTATTTTAAGATGCAGACCACATGAAAACATGTTTTAGAGTATCTATACAGTAAAATATTTGAACAGTCATCAGTTAATCTTTTGAGAAACTATATGATTATGAATATTGCACTTCATTAGGCAGCACATGTTTAACATACACATTGCTGTATTTCCTGTATATGCACAGGTATTCATGCACACAATGAAGCTGCCTAAGCACAGCATCTAATAACCCTAAATTCAGAGTAATCAACTTAAAACTCCCTTCATACCTTACAGAAAGAACTAACATATCTAAAGGAAGACCTCCCTTATCCTAAAAAGAGGTAAGTGTTCTGGAAAGCTCTGCTTCTTTAATAATACATTCTGAAAACAAGTGTCTTTTTACAGCTAGGGACATCAATCACAAATTAAAAACACATTAATTTCAAGTCTTGAAACTATACAAAGGTCTTCATAACAATTTGTGATCAATAGTCCCAATCTATAAATAGATTTATAACCCTCATGTTTTCAACTATGGATTGTGCCTAAAAGAAGTAGAAAATGTAACCAAGAAGAAGGCGGCATGCTGACATTAATATCAAATTATAGTGCAGATTCAGAACTTAATATATAAATTAATGATTATGCAAACTATGTGTGACTGAATCCTTTCTTAGCTAAATAATGACCACTGCTACCTTTTTTAGGAATAGAAAAAAAAAAGAAAAATCAAAGCATTATGGCTCGCTTCATCACTTTCTTTCACTGCCTGACTTTCGTTTCAGGACCTACTAAAGAAATAATTCTGGAGTATACAGTGCTAAGTTAATAGATTTCTTACCCTGCCTTTTATAACTTTTATAACTTTTTTTTGATAGACCTATAGAATTTGATGTATACACTTTTACAAATATAATTTTATCTTTTGAATTGCTACAATTATGGAATTTAATGATATAGTACACTGGTATTTATGCACATGTTTGAAGAGAAAAAGATCCACCTTCTGTTTCTCCTAAAATACATGAAAATTTCAGCTACACAAGTGAAAACCAAGTAAACTCGTCGATATTCTAATTTTATGTATGTAGAAAAAGCTACAGTTTAAGCTTGGAGGGGTTTTTTTTTTTTTTAAGCTATTTGGTGACCAACTTTCCTAGATCAACCTTCATTCAAGTAAAGACTGTCCCTTTCCTTTGCTATGCCATTGAAACATTTCCCAAAAGTAGCCTGTGAAATCTACTCATCTACCATCTCCCTCATTCCACTAGACCACAGTATGAAGAGCACCAACCTCACAGTTGGCAGTGTGGATAAATAGTTCCAGGGTAGGGAACTCTCTTATTTTTAGCAGAAGAGAAGAATAAATCTTGAAGTGTCCAGATAGTTTCAAGAAGACTCAAATATGTTTATTGAAGGAAGCATTTAGAAGACATGCTGATCCACCTGCTCAGTGCTTAATGTTTTTAAAAGGCTGCAGGATACCGTGTTGGTTGATCACTTTTCTGCTGATAGCCTGCACTCACTGAACAATTTCCAGGACCTGAAGAGGAATCAAAAAAAGGTCTTGCAAAACAAAGACGTTGAATTTTTTTTAAGACAGATTATTGGTCATGACTTGCTGACTGTGGTGAATTTTGGCTTAAAAATGAGTTTTGCAATGTTTCTTGCAAAAAATAGCGTTAATGTTTGTGAACACTCATTGTGGTGCAAGGCCTAGACTTACAGTGGGTACACTGAGCATGACCTGCCACTTGAGCATCTGGCAGGGGAACCTGGCATCTTTCACAGAGGTATCTGCCAATGCAGCTGTACAAACATTTCAGCACACGAAACGTGCATAAAGCTAGCTTAGCTGTGCCCAGCACAACTACCATCAACATAATGCCAACAGTGGAACTCAAATTCTAAATTTACATACTGCTTCTTTCAGACTAAATCTCTGTTAAAACACAGATGTGTAGACTAGACTAAATTCTGGAATTTTTCTGAATAGCTCCACTACGAACATTAAAAAATGCTAACAGTGGGTTACTGCACTGAACTAAAAATCACAACATCCCCTTCTTGAAGACACAGCTGAAAAAATTCCAATCATCACCTCCAACTTCTCTAACCTTTTTTTGGGTCATTCTGTCAGCCAAATCCCTAGTGCAACCTATCACCTCTTAACACACAGCCATGAAGTAGAAGAAACACCTGCCACCAAAAGACAAATTTATTCTAGAACTAATTCTTGACCTGTCACATTGACTGCTTTCAGTTGAAAATATAGAGGCAACCAATTTTTTTTCAGCACTTAAATTATTATGAATCACTTCTGGTGTCAACATACTGATTTGGTAAATAGTTGTGCAAGTCTTAAAGTATTCTCAGCATCCCAGAGGCCTGATGTGACAACACATGAATGAAACAGTTTTCTTCTGAAATCTCTTTTTACCTGCCAAGGTCCCAGCAATCACAAGGATTGTTATCAATACCTCTGTACAGCTCTCTGTGCACCATATTCCTTTACCCAGAAAGCTGTAACACCCAAATTAAGTTATTTTAGCATGTTTATGGAAATGCTAACTCTAATATACAGTTTAGACCATGCTTCCAGCCCTCTGCTTTGCCATTAACCCCTCAGACTGCACAGGATCACACTACTTCGTTCCATCAGTCCAGAAACTGTACACGTAATTAAGCAAAGCCCTATTCAATATTAGGAAGCAGTGACTTCACATGGACTTCTACAAACACCTACTCTGCAGAGAAGACTCCAATAAAAACAAGGTCAATTTCATGCCACAAAAAAAAAAGTACATAAAAGTTGCATACAGTGGGAGAAAACAAGCTCTGATCATTTGTTTCCTTTCTACAATTAATAAATGACTGTTCAAGTACCTAGTACTGGATAAGTAATCATACTTTGTATTGTATTATCTCTTTTAAACTACCGAAAAATTGTACAATTGTTTTTTAAGTGATTCACTTAAAAACCTAAAATTTAGGCTCTGCTGTCTGATAACAAATTCCAAAGAAAAAAAGAAAAAAGGTTACACTGTACACAGGTTTCGTATTTCCAGAGTTTACTTACTACTGGAGGCTTGGTCCTACATATCAGGCCATTCTTCTCTGGGCTTTCCCAAATTTGCACGTTTTCAGAAGTGCCACATGAATTTTAAACTTTAACTTCTCTAACCTTTCTCTCACCCCAACAAACTGACAGAAGTCCTCAAGGATTTCCTCTCTAAAGCATACTGCCTATTACCAAAAACTCAAAGTAAATTTGGTTCTGTGGCCAACACTTGCCTAGGTACAAAAAATGCCATTAACCGTTCACAGCTTGTTAAATAAAATTTAGCTTTTGGGACATAATATTTTGCTTTTAATACTATTCTACCTGATCTCACTTTCTGGTGAGAAAATATAGCTAATGTGCAGGGAATACTAGATTTGCTTCAACTCTTCCAGGTCCAATTGGGCAATTAGACCTCAAGTGCTTCAGCTGGATTAGGATAAAACTGGAAGTGTTGGGTTAGGCTCAATTCATATAAAAATGGGAGGTGAGAATAGAAACAATCAAAGACCCCAGTAGCTACTTGCATGTTCACGCTACTGAGACAGAAAGCGTGCACCACTAGGCAACTTAGTATTTTTTAAATTTCTGTATTTGGTTTTGCCCTGAATTGACAACCAAATGAAAGCAGTGATTAGGATTGTATTCAAATGTTACTGTAAGAAAGAATTATTGCAAGGGATTTTCCTACAACATATAATCCACACATCTGTTTCACCCAGAGTTGCAATCACTGCAGTATTATTTAAGTTGGCTACACCCAAGATTTAAAAGATGAAGCAAATGGAGCGTTACCACCAATAAATTTAAGAGTCCATTGTGGCTTTAGTATTTCAAGCTTGTTTTTCCATTAGTTCTATTAACCTCCCCCTCATCCTCAAAACAGGAGTCAAAGGTGTTGGCTTTCATTTCTGATTTCTTAAGCAGCAGCTGCCTCTCTCCTCCCCTCTGCCGAGATTAAACTAGAATTCCTGACTTCACCCAAACAAAGAAAGCAAAGGCTGTGCAATAATTGCTATCTATTAGCTATAATATAGCTACAGTGATATGATTCATGATGATAATCATGATATGATTATAAGGTGCATAAAAGCCAGACGCTGACTTTCCTGTTGTTATGGAGAAGACTAGAAAAAACACCTTTTGGCCTGTGGCTCTGTCCACTGACACATCAAAGGAGAAATGCCTGCTCTGGAAAGCAAGTTCTTACTCATTACAAGGAAAATTCTGGATATCATATATACTTCAGGCTACCTAGACAAAGAATTCCTGTCCTTATCATAATTATTAAAATCTGTGCTGTCTTTATCAGGTACAGACAAGCATTAAGCATATCCAGAACTGTTGGCCAAATATAATGAAACGTTAGAGTTCAAGGGTTTTATACACCATCACCAGCTACTGCTAACACCAAATAAATAAAAAAAAAACAAACCCACAGTAAGAATCTCTATTGAAGAACAGGCATTTAAAGAGAGGAATCACTTTTGAATATTCAAGTGCTATACAGACCCTAACTTACCCCTTTATCTGGCTGTCAGCTGTTGAGGAAGGAGAGGGGTTGCAGGAATTCATTTTCTAACTCACCTTTCCATAACCTGCACTCTTGCAGGCCCTTATTCAATTCCACTGCTTTATCACCCACCACATCTTTAAAAGGCAACTTTCCTCCCTAAACTGTATGTCTGGAGTGGTATATGGAAAGCAGCTAATTACCGTGCAAGCGTCCATGTCTGACACTGCCTTCTCCAGTAAAAACAAACATAACAGCTGCCTCTTTTTATGTTTTTATGTTGCCTGTTTCCTGAATACACCGCTTTTGTTTCCCTCAGTATCAGAGGGGAGCTCACCTTTTCACAGTGCTTTGAAAACGTTAACACCTCTTTGCAAATGTTAACACAACTTTGCAATAAATTAGTATACACATTACTGTACTATTTCACTCTGGAAGCATCAGATTAAACATACAGTAAACATGCAGTAAATTGCACACTCCTCCAAAAGTTGTAAGTACTTTCTGTACATAAATCTGTTTCTGTATTTTTTTCCATAAATGGTTTGGTATTAACATTAGCAAGCTATTGGTGTTGGCATGTAAGAAGAGCACATACAGCATATACATTACCCAACAGTGGCACTATCTTACACGATCCTTTCTCCAAATGCTAAATATTTGTGTACCCTGCCAATTAACAGCGCTTTATATGAATTGCAGAATGATGCAAATTATTTGGAACAGAGTGATTTAAGGGAACAGACAAGGATACACTGCAAAAGCCAAGACAAGCAGACACCACACCACGCTGATATTCATTTCTTGTGAGGGCTTCACAATACTGTAATAGGCTTCCGTCACCACATACACAACTGTAGCTGCAACAGTGAAATCCACCAACCACTGATATTCCGGAAAATAATGCAACGCTGAAAAATACAAGTTTGCAAATGTTAAAGGTTTAAGGCAGTTACTGACACACACAGAATGGAGTGACAATTAAAAAACGTTTTCAATTAACTGAGGTCTAGGTAGACCCAAATCACCCAAGTAAAGAGCAACAATAGCAAAAAAGCCACATTTTTTCCACTCAACAACCTGAACTTCATTCTTCACTTCTGTTATTCAATACTTGATAACTACTCAAATTTATAAGGCTACAAGATTTTATCATCTCAGCTTTTATATATTAACATCCTAAATTCAAAAAGCAGACTTAATTTTAATCTCAACATCACAACACAAAATGGCTTCTCCAAGTCTAGTGGTGATTCCATCTAAGATGTTTTTTGACTCTGTGAAAGATTTAAAGCTCATTGGCAACCATTTAAAATACTACATATAATCACTTTCTCTTTTCCTTTAAAAAAAACCAACACCATCTAAGATACTGATGGTTAGTTAAAAAGTCACAAAACATTACTGAGCATTTCTCTGTTAACTACTACCTAACATCAAACACATGAAATTGGCCAAACTCAGGTATTTCCAAGTCCTATACTTACTTTGAAATAACTATCTTGTTAGATTCCACAACAGTTTGTATACATAACTTTAAGACAGTTAAACCCCACACTGTATCAGTTTACATTTGTTTATTTATGTGCCAGCTTCAAAAAACAATGCATTTCTGTTAAAGGTATTTTCTAGATTGTTGCTGGTAATTCAAGCTGAGAAATCTCCTGCATAGGACTATGCTTCCTTTCCTTCTACATTTATGCACAGAACACATGCATATAAAAACATAGATATGAAGAAAATAAGTATCACACATATATACGTAGCCATATATGGGTTTTCTGTAACAGAATGACTGGTTACAATTAAGGAATCAAAGATTATCATTTTTAAAAGCCAGCAACTTCCAAAACACTTAATGCTGCTTATTTCTGTACTGTCACTTTCAGTTTCTTAAGCATTTTACTTCAATGTGTGGTTGAAAGGTGTTGGTTTTAATGCTACAGCACATTTCCTATTTTAGATGAGCAGAAAGTACATGTTTCGACATCTGCCAATTGTAATTTTCTTGTACAAAGGTACGATCTCCATTTCAGACAGACTATGATGTGATCCTTTGGGTGTTGTCTTATATTGCTATGGATGCCTGATACAACAATAGATGTGCTTTATGCTGGATTTCACCTACTCATCCTTTTCCATAACACTGCTATTAAGATGTCAACCACAGAACAACAAAGGAGACTTAGCCCCAATTCTTGCCTTCTCATTTAACTTTATTCTTGTACCTCTATTCATTCATTGTCTATAAAAAAATATATTCTGTCATTCATTGTAAATAAACACTTGATAGAAAGAAACAGAACATATTTGAAATATTATATTATGATCTGCATCCACTTATTCTTACCAATAGTGTCCCTTTCAGTCACTGATTTGGTTTCCAGATGAAGATCAATGTCTTTCGGAATGGTTAGGGGTTTGTTTTCAATATGACCATTATATTTCCTGTAAAAAAAAAAATAGATAATACACATACAGTTATGACAAAAACTTTTTCAAGACACAAATTCTCTGGATTGAAAGCAAGTAAAAGAAAAAGACAGACTTGGCAGTGTTAGCTTATTGAATGTTCACTGGAAATAACAAGCAGTAATGTACCTCTGAAGATGGCTGATAAGAAAAAAAAAAATACAAAAACAAGTTTCCCAAAAAAATCATTAGACCTTTTTGTCCCAAGAGTGTGCTTAGCAAGTATATCACATGAGCTAGACTAGCCTAGATCCTTGAGAGATCATCCTACTAGCCATCAAGCAAAGGCAATTTTAAAATCATTTTCTAATCTAAAAGGGTATGTGTAGAAATACTATAGACTTGATTCAATTCATATCCTGCTTACGCAAACAAGCAAAAAATACTTATTGCAGTATAACTAGCAATCCTAGAGAACCAGAACATCTTGAAAGGAAATAATCCATTGTGCTGTCTTTGGGGAGACAGACAGAGCTAAGTACACCGCAACAGAGCATCAGGGTTTGGAGCTGTGTTCCAGGTTTTAGCCATTGCTGCATAGCATGACAGTGACACACAGGGACTTCATAAAGCCTGACACACAGATTCATTTGCTCCTATTACACAGGTGGCTGCTTGCTTATACAAACAGAAGGAATAAGGCAAGCAAAGGTTGATCCTCACACTGCTAAACCCTCCCTGGCTTCCAGCATTAAGCAACTTGGGGAGAACCTGAGCCAGGAACCACATCTCCTGAAACCACCATTTTTCAAAACTGAAATGAATTTGCCTTAGCCCTTTCTGAACCAGTCTGAAATTGGTTTAGTTGCGTAGTGTCTTGTGGCACCAAGCTCCACGATGTGTGTCCCAAACTGAGAAGTCCTTTAATCCACCCTATTAACGTCATTCCATGACTACTTGTGCAACGTGGCAGTTTACTGCTCCCTGTCCACCCCCTGCACGCTGGGTACCTGCCTGTTGCAAAACCTTCCCTCTGTCAATTCCCACACCAGTAAACCTTACATCACTTCTTCTGGTGTGGAAGCCCTTCTTCCAGCCACCATCAGCTCCCCTTTTCCACTCCTGATGAATCTTTTTTGAAATATGTATAAACAAAAGTACGTCTTATATGCATAGTGAGAAGTCGGACCATGCTTTCCTAATCATTGTTAGAATTAACACATCTTTAAGGAATCATTTTTCACAGCAGAGATACATGTAAAGACGACAGAAGATGATATATTTAGAGTAAAACGAGCATTTTCATCCAGAGATCTGAAACTATACCAACACCATGGTCTTCACCTCCCTGAAAATATTAACCTGAAGAAAACAGGCTGTTCTTAAAAGAACCTGAACAAAGTCAATTTACATGAAATTGGACTGAGAGATTAAAATTACAAACTAGAATAAAACTTACCTCATCACGATTTTAAAGAAATAATTTAAGCAGATCAGAAAACGGTTTGCTAAGTTCAAAAAAAATAAAATCCAAAACTTGTAAGCCCTAAATTGGTACAAGGAAACAGAAAGCTCTGCCAGATTTTAGAATAGCGCCTCTCAAATTAGAAAAGGAGATACGGATTTTCCAAAGGAAGACAAGTTATTGGGACATAAGCATTAAAAAGCAATTCAATCAATTGTGAATTTATTTTTCAGGAATGATGTCCTGTCAGCTAATGTGCATGATGAGAATGCAAGCAGAAAGTATTAATAACTTATTTTTTTCAGGTGATATTAATTATTAGTATCATCCAAAGGAAAAGAATTTTAATGGGCAAAACTGAAAACTGTGGATTGGAATCTAAAGCATTACTCAAAAAATTCAGGTGCTCAAGTCTAAACAACAAGTCTCAAACACTACTTGACATCCACTGACTACCTGCAAGCTTCTGTGTGGTTCTCTGGTCTCAAACTATACTCTTGATGTTCTCTTGTACCCAGAAGTACCATCATCTTGAGCGAGATGAGCATTTTGATAACTGAAGCCATTTCAGCTCAACAAAATCTGGTGTTCCTACTCTTTAATTATCCCAGGGGACCCATAATCCCAGAGGCACAGTCAGAACATACCCAGGATCACTGACAGCTTTAATTCAAAGTCATTCATAGTAGCTATGGACCTTTTCATTAGCCTAACAATTTAGTATAACACAAATTATTCTGAGATAGAAAATCTGCCTAAAATTCATGTGCCATTATAACCTATAGCATAATATGCTGAAGTGTAGTATGTGTTGAATAAAAAGGACTACATATTCACACTACTGCTGTTTCTAAAGCTCATTTTGAAGCAAGTGCCTTGGAGCTCCTTTCTCTTTTAATTAGTTCAAATTGGAGAAGTATTTAAGTAAGGAGCAGGTACCACTTTTTGCAAGATTATGATCTTGACAAAGAAAATTCTTTATCTTGAAAAGGCATGGGGGGGAGAGGGGAGGAATCAAATAAAAATACCCTTATTTCTCCTACAGCCTTCATTTCATATCTCCTTGGCTCAAAGGAGCACTGCATTCCATTTTGTGCAAACTGAAACAGTATATCCAAACCAACTCAATACAAACAATTCCTATTCTAAATCACGTTTTTCCTCCAACAACAGACATTTTTTATACTGGACACACAATATATTTATTGACTAAAAAGCGTATTATTCATTCTGTTGTTACAACAGCAAAGCAAAGGAGGCATCATTTAAGTCTCCACATCACCTTCCTGGTTTCTGTAAAGTTCCCTATCCCCCTGTGATTAACAGTTACTTTAGTACAAACAACTACCTACATCTACTACAATTGCATTCTCTTGGTTAATATAGTAAGATAATTATATCAATCTTATAATAACTAAATCATACCAAGAAAATTTGACTGTGCAGACAAGAAAACATAGCTTCACAATTGAAACACTAGATGTTGAAGTTTAGTAACTGAAAAAGGACTTTATGCATATACAGATGACTTGCAATACAGGTTCCTACTAAATTTCTCAGTAAATTTTCCAAATATTACAAAATTTAAGCTTAGCTGCTTGGAAGCATGGCATAGAAGAGCATATAATTGCTCTGGAGAAAGTGAGAACACACACATTTTGGATGGCAAGGAATTGGTGAGATTGAGAAAAGGCAATTTACAGCAACGTACAATTATTATTTGGCAACCAGACTGTGTTTTTCTGTTTAACGCTCCTATGGGTGGACTTAAAGTTATAGTTTGCATTTAAAGTTAAATTTATATATGAATAAATATTACTAGTTAAATGTTATAAATTGTAATGCTATTCATAATTATTTTTCCTCAATTTCTTACAGAAAACTGTTAGATAAAATGAATTTCTAGATTTGAAAGAATATTGCAATAGACATGTAAAATTAAAGTTATTTAATACTGAAGGCATAACTTAATTCTTTATTCCAAAGTGCGGCAAATAAGGTTGCTAACCACATAGTTTAAGAAATAAGAAACAGAAAAAAATAAATCGCATTACAATGAGCAGACTATATGTGCACTTTGTGGATTATACAAGAGTTCGTAATGAAATATAAAAAAAAGGACTAAAGGAAAGCCCCTATGTCACCAAAAAGAAAGCCGGGGGGTTGGTTTGTTTCAAACACAGCCAATTCAGAAGCGTTGCATCAACATAGCAGCTCCACCATCTCAAGATGTCTTGGTTCTTGCCACAGTTGTACTTCTGGAAAGCTGTTTCAGAACTTCATGCCTGAAGGTCAGAAATGTGTTTGCACCTTAAGCAGACAGAGAGCTGTCCCACCCCTCTCTGTCCGCTCTTTGCTAGGTTAAGCGAGCCAAGCTCCTTCAGCCTCCTCTTGTAAGACAGACTTTCTGCTTCCCAGCAGCCCTCTGTTCATCTGTTCACGTACAAATTCACTTTTCTTGAACATGAGTGATCAGAACCGTACACAGTAATCCCGATAAAGTTCTACACTGGTGCCTTGTCCAAGAGGATTAATATTTCCCTATCTCTTCTACTAGAAATACCTCACCTAATACATCCTAGGAACGCATTTACCTTTTTCACAGCTATGTAAGAGTGGTGGCTCAAAGTAATCCTATGTTGGACTAATATACTCACATCTTTCTTCTCTGGATTCAAGATGAAGAGCTTCAATCCTATAGAAGATTTGCTTCCCTCAGTTTTTATCCAAATGAATACATTCACTAAAAAAACCTCCTTGCCACCAATTTAGCAATTTCTCAGACCAATTTTGTGGACTGGAAATCACCCAGTCCTGAGCAATTTGGCGATATCCAACTCAGAAGAACATGGTTCAGTACAGAGTCCCACAAACTAATGCAAGCTGGAGAGCTAGCAGTTTTTAACTCAGTCTAAAAAAAACAAATAGTTAGCTGGCAGAGCTATTATATGTCTTATGCTTAAAAAAAAAAAAATAAAGTCTTAAAATAAATATTTACCTGTCTTTTTTGCTTTTTCCTCTTTGTTTCCCTGCAAGAATCCGTAGCTCTTCTTCAGTAGGATGCTGATACCACCGCAAACTAAAGAAAAACAAAATCTCAATTAAAACAGTATCAGTATTAGCAATTCAGCAAGCTGGTTTATTTTTTTTAAAAAAAAAGAACTATATATCAACACACATCTATATGCATATTAAAATGCTGGTCATTTGCAACACCTAAGTAAAATAATTGTTCACACTTGGCAAGGGAGAGCCACCCTGCAGAAAGACCTGGAGAGGCTGGAAGAGTGGGCTAACAAGAAATGTACGAAGTTCAACAAGGACAAGTATAAGGTCTTATACTTGGAGAAACATAATCCCAGCACAGGCTGGGATCTACCTGGCTGGGGAGCTGTTCTGTGGCAAGAAACCAGGGGGCCCTGGTGGACAACAAGCTCAAGATGAGTGAACAGTTTGCTGCTGTGGGAAAGAAAGCCAACAGGATGGTGGGCTGCATCAACCAGGGTATCACCAGCAGAGATAAAGAAGTCATTATCTCTCTTTACTCAGGGCTTGTTGGGCCACATCTGGAATACTGTGTTCAGTTTTGGTCCCCATTACACAAAAAAATATGGGCACACTGGAGAGGGTCCAGAGGAGGACCACCACAATGTTCAAAGGATTGGGAAGCCTGCCATATGACAAAAGGCTGACAGAATTGGGTTTGTTCAGCCTTGAGACAAGAGAGCTTAAGGGAGACCTTACCACCAAATTCAGTATTTAAAGGGTGGCTACAAATAAGGCGGAGACTCCCTTTTTACAAGGAGTCACATGGAAGAGAGGAGGGGTAATGGGTACAAGTTACTCCTGGGGAGATTCCAACTGGGCTCAAGAGGAAAATTTTTCCCAATGAAAGCAATTGGCCATCGGAATAATCTCCCCAGGGAAATGGTGGATTCCCCAACAGTGGACACTTTTACAACTCAGCTGGACCGGGTGCTGGGCCATCTTCTCTAGTTCATGCTTTTGCCAAGAAAGGTTGAAGGTCCTTGAGGTCCGTTCCAACCTGTTGTTCTGCGAGTCTATGAAAATACCTTTATGTGCAAGTACTAACAGTGCCTGAACAAACAGAACTAAACTTCATTTCTCTTCAGCATGTGACGTGCTTACTCATAATTAGAAAGCTTTGCCACTTTGTCATTTAAGTGAAAGCCCTTCACTTCTTAAAACATCAAATTTTCAAGTTATCATCAAATAGAGCAAACAAGGTTGTACTGATATTGGAAGAAGTTCACTAGAATAATTATACCATTTCAATTACGCATCAAAACCATATTCTAAACTATTTTATAAAGTATAATTATGCCTCTCAAAAAAACCCCAGTAATTTTCCAGGATCCAGAATAGCTATTATCAAATAACCATTGCCAGTCTTTTTTCTTAAGCAGAGGAGATCATAACATCAACATTCCTTTCCTTAACACCTCCTCAGTGATATCTTCAACTCCTACTAGAAAAGGTGCTATTAAAAAAAACAAAAATCACTAATTTACATGTAGCTGATCTGCAAGTTTTTCCACTTTTACAAGCCAATGCACCATCCACTGCTCATTTATTTAAAAGGCGTGCAGTGGCACAGAAATTCTGAAGAGGAAAAACACAGATGGCTAAGTTTCTAAGATGGTACATTCTACCTTAATCTCTAAGCATGTAAAGAGCCTTAGTAGCTGGAACAAGGCCTTTTCTACGTTCAACATGGGAGGGCTGCTGCCCAGATGCAGGAAGGATGTCACTCTGATCTCCATTCCAAAATGCTGAGGAAAAGGAGCCCAAGTATTAACCAGAACAGACTTAGGAGTAGGAAGCCACTGCTTGGTGACACTGGTTAACACAGGGTAATAGTTAAAGATGATAATGGAATGCACACTGTCAGTACTTCTCATGTTAAGATAACTTCATCAAGTAGGACCATTCTACATTGGTAAATTAGAGATTAAGCTACATCCAGTTCCAAAAAGATAGCAAAGCAAATTTGGAAAGTAAGTATCAAACCCAAATAATCTCAAGCCACTTGATTCCCAGCTCTGTTTTGGAAAGGCTTCCTGTCCCAAGTGGAAGTCTGGTCCACCTGTCTTTATATATGCAGAATGGCCTTTCATGTAAATACAAAAAAATTTGTCGTTCTTCATGGTACATTGTCTATGCAACAAATACCAAGGGAGGTCCAGTGCTCTGAGACTTGTGCTAAAAGCAGAAACAGTCATAAACACAAGCAGCCACAAGAAGCAATATTTTACTACTTCTGCCTTCCTTACAATGGCATGGACACTTGGTGTCCATAGACACTGGATAAAGACTACCAGAAAGAATATGTACAATTTTAATGATATGTATGTGTCTATGAGTATATGCCTTTCTGGCAAACCTTAAACAGGAGACATGGCCTCTCTGTCCTGATACTGTCCTTGACGCTACACTAAACCTGGCTGAAGACAGGGAAAAGGGAATAAAGAAACATGGTGTGACGAAAACACAACAGATTTCAGGAAGAGTTCCCAATTTCGGCAGTTTAATTGCTGCTATAATGAAGTATTGAACAAGCAATTGCACAAAGCTCACGAACATCATATTAAATTAAGAATTGGCACAATGGGTAAGTGAAGAGTTCAAGCCAGTGATAATACAAAGAATACAATCTGGTTAATAGGTGCTTCCACCAGCCAGTGTCAGTAGCTACTGCTGTGCTAAAGAATCACCCGATGCTGGGATTCCTTCAAGAGAAAGGAACTTCAGTACCTGGCAGTAATACATGACAGATCCAAAACCATCGCATGCTGCAAATTCCCCTCACAGGAATTCACTGCCAGTTCTGAAACCGAAAGTGGTAACTCCTACAGACTCTGCATGGACAAGGTGTTTCGGGGGGAGAAGAGGGACTGAATTTTGTTTGTGGGTTTTTCTGAGGCATCAGTAAGAGTCAAAAGTTATTTCATTAATTTATTTTTATCATGAGTGGTCTCAGCTGAAAAAAACCTGCTGTTAGCAAACTTTGTTGCAAAGAAAAAAAAAAAAAACAACTTTGTTAACACTGAAAATCACACAGAAACCAGAGTGACTACCTTTTTATCCAAGACAACAAACTACACTGGAGATACTACCTTCTTCCTGTCTTTCACACGACCTAGAGAAAGTGGGGGGAAAGCAAAGCAGAGAAATAGTCTTCTGCTTTGTCATTTACCATCTCCCAGATCAGAACTCGTCATGCTGAAAGTACCACAAGGGGTGCTGTGATTATGAAAATACCTGTGTGGGAAAGCTAACTTTTCAAAATCCTTCCTGCACAGATAAGTTAAATAGTACCTAATACAGCAGACAGAATTCTTGTTCTGTTTAAAATGCTAACACAAATCGAACACTTAAAGCACTATTTGCTCTTAATTGAAAGTGACTCCTATTTACAACTAATAGGATGTAAGAGTTCAGGGATTTTTTTTGTTAATAAACTACATACCTTGCATTTACAGTCTCAAAACCAAGATATCTGAACATTCTCATAAAGGTAGAGCTACAGAAAGTAGTTAGTATCTGCCTTGGCTTATATGTTTGAAACTGAGATCCCACAACTGATTACTCCGTAGCTTTGACATAATCCAAGTTAGTCCAAACAGCCCCAACAGCAGAGATATGCCCCAGTTAATTTGAATGAAGGTCATTAACGAATGCACTACAAAACATCCGTTTTCTCCTGTCTTCCTGAAGTGACCTGAAAATAGACTGTAGCTGAGCAACTTAAAAGCAATGTTTTGGTAGAGAATGTTTTATTGGTTAAAAATGCAAAGGCCTATGCAGATATTGAGGCTGCCAACACACTGACTTCAATATGAATATTTAAATTCTGTTCAAGCTCTGAAAATAGCACCGATTGAAAAAGTTTGTATTTCTTTAAAAATTTAGATTAATAGTTTTTCAACAGTCAATGATAGCTGTTAATTCTGCAAACAAATAATTATCTTATGTCTACTTATTCTAACCACTCTTTGAAATTTTCAGGTGCCCATGTTTCATTTTAATGGACTTTGAATGTACACATACAGGCATCTTGAAACCAACTGGTCACTTCAAAAGTTCCTAGCTTGTCTAGTAATGTGTTTAGCCTATCTATATCTAGACATTTCAGACTATCTTGCCTAGAAAAGCCACCCAATCCTTCACAAGGAAGACACTTAAGCCAAATAACTTAAAAACTAGTTTTGGGAACCAAACACTAGTTGAAGCATATTGACAAAGGAAAGGAAGAGCAGGTGGTAACTTTTCCTAGGAAAGTTGGACTACTTAAGAGTGTGTCTGCACACTTTTGTGTCTACAAAACCCTCCACCACTCCACCCACACAGGTCTGTGCAAGAAAACTGGCAAAAAGCACTAAGGAAAACAAGTTAACATAAAAGACAGTTTGTCAGCTAAGCTAAGAAGAGAATTGTTTTTCTTACTGCCATTAAAATTCAGATTCTTGTTGAAGTGAAGCTTCTGACTTGTTTTTATTTCTGGAACACAGCATTATTTCTGGCTCTTTACATAATTCTTGTATTCAGGAGGTTATTCACAATGACTGAAATTACAATGCACTAAAATGGTTACCAGATAAACAGAAGAACAGCGAAAGGCAACAATGAGATTCTCAAGACTACTAACATGAAAGGCAATAATAAGACTCCCATTGACTGCAGTGGGAGCAGAATTCCACAAGCACAAGAGCAGAAATCCTGCTTTATGTATTTATCAATCTGCAGATGCACAAAGAAAGCAGGAGAAAAGTATTACGAAAAATATTTGAACAGCAAACCTGTCCCTATCTTTGGCACAAGCCATGCCTTAGAACAAGGATACAGAAAGGCAAAACTTCACAAGAATTAAGAACACGGGCATAATATTGAGAAATTCTTTTTAAAAAGCAATTAAATATTTCCATTTTGAAATAAAAATTTAAGTAAAACTTAAGTAGGACATAAAAAGTGGAAAATGTCACTTGAATGCTGAAAAAAACAACACGATGGCAGTAACACACCTTAAAAATAAATGGTATGCAATTTCATATTCATTAATTTAATATTCTTTTTAGAGTACAAAAAAGGTGATCAATATCCTGGAGATGTGATCAACAATGAAACTTCATACAACAATTAAGAGTATAGAATCACAGAATGGTCCAGGTCAGAAGGGACCTCCAAAGGTCATCTAGTCCCACCTCCCCGCAGTCAGCAGGGACACCCCCAACTAGACCAGGTTGCCCAGGGCCTTGTCAAGCCTCACCTTGAATATCTCCAGGGATGGGGCCTCAACCACCTCCCTGGGCAACCTGTTCCAGTGCTCCACCACCCTCACAGTGAAGAACCCTCTCCTCATCTCCAGTCTAAATCTGTTCCCCTCCAGCTTGAAGCCATTGCCCCTCATCCTGTCACTGCAGGCCTTTCTAAACAGGCTCTCCCCAGCCTTCCTGTAGGCCTCCTTCAGGTACTGGAAGGCTGCTATTAGGTCTCCCCGGAGCCTCCTCTTCTCCAGGCTGAACAACCCCAGCTCCCTCAGCCTGTCCTCGTAGCAGAGATGCTCCAACCCCCTGATCATCCTTGTGGCCCTCCTCTGGACCCACTCCATCAGGTCCATGTCTTTCCTATACTGAGGGCTCCAGACCTGCACACAATACTCCTCCAGGTGAGGTCTCACCAGAGCAAAGTGGAAGAATCACCTCTCTGGACCTGCTAGCAATGCATTTCTTGATGCAGCCCAGGATGGGATTAGCCTTCTGGACTCCAACTGCACACTGCCTGCTCATGTCCAGCTTCTCGTCCACCAGCACCCCCAAATCCCTTTCCTCAGGGCTGCTAGACCTCACCCCCCGGTCTGTGCTGATGGCGAGGATTGCTCAGCCAAGGTGCAGAACCTTGCACTTGTTCTTGTTGAACCTCATGAGGTTCACCTGGGCCCACCTCTCCAGCCTGTCCAGGTCCTTCTGCATGACATCCCATCCCTCTGGTGTATCGACAACACCACACAGCTTGGTGTTGTCTTGGTGTCGTATAAGTCCTGTTCATATTATTCACAATTACTGTTTTCCATTACACCTACCCAGTGATACCTAACATGCATCTAAACAACATTTAGAGCTATTTTTCATTAGCATCTCTTTGGGTGGTGAAATGGGGAAAATTAAAAAGAAAAGAGTTGGCAATTCTGAGACGCAGAGGGGAAAAAAGGCCATGGAAAATTATATGAGACTGGTTAAGACTCCTATGGAGTACATTATTATTCAAGGATACTTCTTCAGAAATCTTTGGTATTCTCAAAATTTTAACATTTACAAAAGACAGCAAACTACCTTCTAATCATACAAAGTGGTTTTCTTCCAAAAACGAAAAAACAGTGTCTACGATTTTTTTAATATTTAAGATACTGATTTATATTCAAAACAGCTGCTCGTTTTCATTGTTATTATGGATACAGCCACACAGGGAATGCTCCCCTTGCAACTCATTATGTCTGTTTGATCTATTGTTATGAGGAAGTAGCGTATTGAAATTTATACTAATCCTGTCCTGTGAAGTATTAAAAAAATAGAATTTTTAATAAATACCTAAGCACTCTTCAGATGCAAGGCTAATCAGCAGGTGGATTATCAAGAGGCAGTGCAGAGAAAAAAAAACTTCCATTTTTCAGTGTCCTGCATTCAGTTTAGCTTTTTACGTATGTAGTTTCTGACTTTAATAATATAAGAGCTGGACAAATACTAAGTTTATGACTGGCACAATTAATAGCAACAAACCTGTTCTTCTACAGCAACACTGCCTTTATACCTTAAGCCTGTAAGTCAGGTGTTACAATGCTATGGTAATAAATTTAAGAACAGCAGATTAATTATTTTTCAAGAAAACAACCTAAATTAGTATGTTTTACTGTTACTACTCTAATGCATAATTGCATTACCATATTCACACACAGTATAGCAACTGTTTCTTATCTTACCTGCCACTACAGAGAAGCCAACGAGCAAGAGAATAGTGAGGTATAATCTTCTGTATGACACTAGCCATTACCATGGTAACCACCAACTGCACACCTATCACACCCTGTAAAGGAATAAGTTAATAACAAGTCAATATACATTTTAGAAAAGTGCTGAAATACCTTTAAAAAAAACCTAAAAAGTTAAAAACATCTTGTATAATCAAGATAACGTATTTTCGTTCTTTTTAAACTAGAGGGGGGAAAAAAACCCATATGATACCAGTTTAAGACATTCCCTGAAACTTGCTGTTATCACTTACCCACTTTATTGAAGTAAAAAAGCATTGCCACATCAGAGACCAGGAGTGTATGTCCTTGTTTCACACCCTGTAAGGCCACATGTGGACACAGCATTTCACAAGATATTATTTCTTAAAATTACATCACTGATTACAATCTTCAGATTTGTGGTCTCTTCAATTCTTACATGATTTAACAGCTGACACCACACAAACCCACTGGAATTAACAATCATTTACAACATAAGCATTATGAAATTTCAGCCTTTGATTACTGCAGGGCATTTGCTCCTCACTGAACTCCAGACACAAGTGGGGAAGGGAGAAGAACATCTCACTAGCAGCACCATGGTTCAAACACATCCTCTTCCACCAGGCATACCCGTTCTATTGGGGGAAATTTAACCACATGTTTTTTCAACCAGAAGTTTCTCAAGGTACAGCTAATCCAGGAAAGGAAAGGCAATTATCACAGAACAGTGAAATGGCTGAGATTGGAAGGGACCTCTGGAGATCAGCTAGTCCAACCTCCACTGCTAAAAACATGGTTAACTAGAGCAGGTTGCTCAGAGCCATATGCTCAGTTGGGTTTTGAATGTCTTCCAAGAACAGAGACTCTACAACCTGTGCCAGTGGTTTGACCATTCTCACATTAAATAGTTTGGCTTTTTTTTTTTTCTTTCTTATGTTTAAATGAAATATTCTGTATTGTGCCCACTGCCTTTTCTTGTTCTTTCACCACACACCACTGAGAAGAGTCTTGTTCCACCATCTTTATTCCTTCCCATCTGGTATTTATGCACATGGATAAGATGCTTCCTGAAACTTTTCTAGATTCAACAGTTCCAACTCTCTCAACTTCCCTCATATGACAGATGGCTCAGTCTCTTCATCATCTTTGTGGCCCCGCAGTGGACTCTCTCCAGTAAGCCCATGTCTCACATAGAACCCAAAACCAGATGCAGCCCTCCACTGTCTCACCAATGCTGAGCAGAGGTGAGCACCTTTGTCAACTTGTTGGTGATTCTCAGCCCAGGGTGCTGTCGGCTGCCTTTCCCACCAGGGCTCACTGCTGGCTCATGCTCAACTTAACGATCTCCAGGACCTCCAGGTCCTCTTCTGCCGAACTGTCCAGGTGGACAGCCCCCAGCAGATACTGGTGCCTAAGCTTAGTCCTCCTCAAGAATATTGTCATTTCCCTTTGCTAAGCTGCATGAGATTCTCGTTGACCCATTTCTCCAGCCTGCAGAGTTCCTTCTGAACGGCAACACAACCACCTTATGTACCAGCCACTCAAGTTTTGCACTATCTGCAAACTTCCCAAGGGTGCATTCTCTTCCATCTTCCAAGTTGTAGATGAAGATGCTAACTAACATTAGCACTCGTATCAACTCCTGAGGCACATCACTAGTGACCAGCCTCCAGCTGGACTTTGTGCCATAAGCTCAGGACATCAGCCAGTTTTCAGTCCACCTCACTGCCCACTTCTCTAGTCCATACTTCATCAGTTCACCCCTTGTAACGCTGGCCTCATTAACTGTGTGCAGGTTTCTTTGTGTTTATATACACAAACAGGTCTCCTTCCACCCTGTTCAGTTGTTTTCAAGGACTCCTCTCCACATCACCATGTATCCTTTACTTATCAACCCAGTCCACCATTTTTTCCTCTCCATTTGTGAGTCATCTCCTCCTTCCTCTCTCAGTCCCAGTCTAAAGCTGAACATCTCTCTGCATCCTACCCACCCTCTTTTGGGAGAAATCCACTGTACTCACTCTCATAAGGGTTACTGCTGTATTTCTTACAAAAATATTTCAGATTACAACTGAAAACAATCTATCAAATTTTAAGCCTTTAAAAAAAAATTTAAAAATCAACAATAATATCCCTAATCCTAATTTTAAATCTGACTTTGTGGTGGAAATATCCTTCTGGTATTTTTCTACACTTCAAGCAATTAAAATAATTGATATGCCCATTCACTCAATCAGGGCATTTTTCTCTTGATTCCTGAAGGTTAGTAATCAACCACGAACAACATGTTAACAGACTAAAGCTGTCACATGAAATTAAAAAATTCCACTGCATTAATCTTCTTGCAATCAGCCAAGAACACATGGCACAGGAATACTGTAGGTGATATGCCCACTCAAAATAACATGCTATATGCAAAACACAACATTTTTCCAACTCCACTCTCTTGCCTGTAGATGGTTACACACTACTTATATGTTTATGAACACACTCTAGAAAAATCTACAGTATGCCCCGAACTGTCTCACAACACCAGAACACATCTTTCCCCACCCCCTCCCCCACAAAACCACAAAATAGAGGGTTCATTCCAATTCAGGCTCTGTCTAGATCAAGTCTCCCACATACTTTTACGTGTTCCCATTACCACTAATATCAGTTTGAATTTAAAACCACTTGTTTCAGGGATATGAATGAAGACTAGGTGTTGTTTCCCACCAAGATCTTATATCCTTTATTTGCCGTACTCTAAATTAGAGGACACAGAGATTAGAACTTAGCCAGAAATCTGCAACTTAAAAAAAAAATCTGTCCCTGCTTAATAGAGTATGATACATTTGAGGGAGAAAATGCTCAAGGACAAAGTCCACAATCACAAGGGAGTTTTGAGGGCCTCTGGTGAACAAAACCTGGAACCCACCAACTCACGTGATCTGTGACAAAGTAATTGAGCACACAATCATTGATAGGCTTATCTCAAAAGTAATAAATGCATTATTCACCGCTTAGAGATGAGGAACTGCTGTACAGATTTAATAAAGTGTCTGCAGTTACAGAACAGTTTGTGGAAAATGACATTATCTGAATCCGTTTCTAAGACCTTAGTCACTCTGATTCCACATACATCCTCGTCCCTGTCATGCTTTGGGTTTGCAGCCTGGAATTTGAAATCCAAATTCAAGACACTGGAGAGAGAAGTCAGTATCTCACTGGTCAGAGACATTTCTGTCAACCTGTGTAACGCCGAGAAGCGCTCAGCCCAAAGAAAAGCTGGCTACATAAGACAGTTAAGTCAGTTTGTCTGCAAAACAGAGGCTGGCCAGCAACCTGGTGGTCAAAGATGACACTGAAACAGTTCAAGCTCATCAGGACAACACTAATAAACTGCAGCCTGGCTGTATTTGTGACAGAGTGGAAGGTCTTTGGTTAGAGGAGTCTTAAAAGTCTTGAGCACTGTGCTCAGTTCCAGGTCCTTCAGTAAGCATGGCGTTCTTACTTGCTTGTGCAACACAGGATATGTTTTACAAGACAGCTTTTATTAAAACATAGCAGAGAATGTGTAAGTGGTCTACAAAAGAAGTGTTAGCACCTACATTAAAGGGAAGATTGCCAGATTTCTTAAAATTCTGAAAAAAAAGTTGACAGATCCAAAAGTAAACAGTGTAACACTGAACAAAGGATAACCTAGACTTTGCTTTTTACAGTCTACACCTTTCATACTACGTACCTGGAGACACTGTTGCTGATAATTAGGAGAACAAAAAGTAAGAATAAACAATTAAGATACAGTTACAATACTCTTATCTACAAGTTAAGGGTACTTACCATACACCTACAGCTATCTCAGAACACTAACCAAAAAAAAAAAAAAAACAAAATTTTAAAAGTACTTCTGCCTAAAGGACATTTTTCTTTTCATCATGAATTGATCTACAGGACACACAGAACAAAGCTAGTCAAGGTGAACAGTTTTACGCCAAGACACCACTCCCATCTCCTCATTTTGACCTTGCCCAAGGTTATTCTCCCACACCTGTAGTAACAGTTCAGCTTTCTCCCCACTCTTTTTTTTCCCCCCTACCTGTATATTACAAATAACTCAAATACCTAGCTTTACATGGGACTTTGAAACTACTTGTACTAACAATAACAACCTCCTCCATTGCAGGACAAGGGCCATGAGCTGCAGTCAACTGCCATATGCACTAGGATTGCAGGAGCAGTACAACTGCATGCCTGAAAAAAACAGCTAGTAGAATCCAATTTACCACTTCAGCTTCAGAAATGCTATGCCAGCTACTTACTTCTCTGAAGTGGCAAGTCTGGTAAAAACAAGATTTTTACACAAGGGCACTGGAGTATTCTGTAGATGTTAATTCAGGGCATATCAATCTCTTTCAATGGTAGCACACAAACATACTAAAAAGGCTGTGAATTTTCAAGTAAAAAAATGGAAGAGATTTTATATTACCAGCAACCAGCAAGACCTCTAGAAGAATATAACAAATACTCTCATCTTCTGCAATTCCAGAGTGCAATGGTATTTACGAAGCCTGGAAGCTAAATCGATACAACCCATTTGAAATGCTATTTGATGGATGACACGTTACTGCTCTTGCTATTAGATGAGACTTTTCCATATGCAAAATCTTCTTCACATGTATATATCCATGCTCAAGCTGTAGCTCACAAAAGCAAGACAGTGCTCTCCTGAAACATAAATGCTATTCAGAATTGTTTGCTAAGTAGTAGAAGCCATTATATGGCATGATCAAAGAAAAGTGAGCTCACTGTACGAAGCCTTTAAAATGAATCCTTTCTGTGAAAAAGACTACTTTCACAAAATACTTAGAATGGTATCTTGTAGAGTCATCAATCTGAGGCAGTTTAAATATTGCTACTTGTAGAAATCAGACATTCATAAAGCTAATTTTGGGAAAGAAATCTATGCCAAAAAAGCTCTTCAAGAATCAGATTTATTTTTATTTTCTTTCTTCATGGCCAAGTTTTCCCTAAATTGTATTCTTCTGCACCTACCACTGTTTGCAACACAGCAGGAATGAAAAACAGATGCACAAAGTGGCATGAAGAACATACAAGGAATTCCTGACTACCTCACTGCTCACCTTCACGGGTCTTTCCCACCAAAAGGTCACTTCACAGAATCATGGAATTGCCTCAGTTGGAAGGGACCTTTCAGATCGAGTCCAACCATCAATCTAACACTAACAAAAACCATCACTAAACCATGTCCCTTAGCACCATATCTGCCCATCTTTTAACTACCTCCAGGGATGGTGCCTCAACCACTTCCCTGGGCAGCCCATTACCAAGGCTTAATAACCCTTTCAGTGTAAAAATGTTTCCTAATATCCAATCTGAACCTCCCTTGGCATAATTTGAGGCCATTTCCTCTTGTCCTGTCACCTGTTCCTTGGGAGAAGGAAACCAAAGCCTGCCTCTCTACACCCTCCTTTCAGGGAGTTAGAGAGAGCGAGAAGGTCTCCCCTCAGCCTCCTCTTCTCCAGGCTGAACACCCCCAGCTCCCTCAGCCTCTCCTCACAAGACTTGTGCTCCAGAACCCTCACCAGCTCCGTTGCCCTTCTCTGGACATGCTCCAGCACCTCAATGTCTTTCTTGTACTGAGGGCCCCAAAACTGGACACAATGTGTGGAGGAATGGCTGTGTGAAAAAGGCCACGATTTAATTGCAATGAGCAACCCAGTCTTTGATGTAGATAAAGGCCTGGAGATGACCATGAGCTCTCCTGGGAAAAGCAGAAGTAAGCAGCAGCAGCTACTTGGTAGATAAGATAAACGGGACTGCATCCAGAAGAGGAGAGAATGTTGCTGCGCGTGGACAAGGGGTCTACACCAATTGTGTGAGCGCTCTGGTCGCGTGAACAGAGATTGTAAGCCAATCGTATAGCTACCGCTAGCGCGTGCTCTGCTTGCCTGTCTATATATACTTTGGAAAAACATAAATAAAGGGAGAACGATCATACTCATATTGAGGTTACATCGTTACTCCGGGTCCGTCTCCCACTCCCGACAACAATGGGGCCTCAGCAGTGGTGACTGCAGTGGGATGATCACTTCCTTAGTCCTACTCGCCACACTGTTCTGGTAACTTTCCACATATTCAAAGGAGAGCCATGAACTGCTAGATGTAAATAGACACCAACAGCATGACTCCCCTTGAAACAAGGCGCTTTGTTTAAAACCAAAACTGCATTTCAGTCAGCCAACAGCATTTTACCTGACAGTCTTGCTTCTTTTTCCACTGAGGCTCCCTAAGCACCAAGATCCCAGAACTAGTGATCATTGGGCAAATCAAGTTATTGCTATACATCCAGTCTTATGACTGGAACAAAGACATTTACAAAAATCATAGAATTATCATTATTACTGAAGAAGCCCATAGAGGATGTCTGTTGTGCAGAACACTTATATTCTTATATATTGGACACGTACCCAATGTATATTAAACTACAAGTAAATCTAGTTCAGAGAACTGATCTACTACAAAGGAAAAAGCACAGTTATATCCTATTATCACTACTCAAAGACTTTAACAAGCTAGTTTACCCATACTTCCCCAATTAACCCAACTAAGAACTGTGGAAGCTCTCGCTTTCCAGAACATTTGCTTCTTAAATAGCAGGCTTTGCCATCACAGGAATCCTTCCAAGTATAAAAACTGAGAAGTCTTTAATGCCTCTGCTGAACAGCCTAAAACACCGTGGCCTCAGACAGTATTAGGATACTTGTGCAGAGTTTAACGTTGTGAGCATAACTGGCATCGCAACTACACACAGACAAGTCCTGGCAGCCCCAACTTGGCAGAGCGCTGCCAGTAAATTGTTTTGGTGACTTGATTTATAAGCCTCTTGATGCAAAAGAAACTGATGAACATTTCATTCTCCTGTTGCTTTGGAGCAACTGGAGAATACGGCTTCCAAAGTGGACTATCGTCTTTTCACTTTGCTGACGTCATGGAATCACGCACAAAGATTATTTGTCCTCACTGCCAGCAGCTAGCAAAGGAAATCAGACCTGATTTTTCAACCCCCATCAGGCAACACAAGGAATCACTCAGTTTATTTAAATAAGGACCTTCACTGAGAGGAAAAGCTGTATTTGCTTGCAACTTTGCAAAAGTAGCTTCAAATACAGAGCTAGAAGACAGCACCCATGCGCTCCTGCAAATGACAGAAGCCTCTCAAGACCTTTTGATTAAATATTCTAACCTCTACAGAAAAGAAAAAAAGAATGGCAAAAGAGACAGAATGAGAAAAATACCTACACAGTTCCTTTCAGATTTCAAAACATATATAATTAAAAAATACCTTCCTAGAATCAGATGATTAAATATTTTGGTATTAGAACCATTAAAAGTTAGCTCAATGTATACTCATGTATATACAATGTTATACTCAATGTATATCTCTAAAGTGTGTTCCCTCAACAAAGCTTCCCTCATATGAACACCATGTTGCCACAGTTAAAGTGACATACTGACATTTATTTCCATATAGAAGACAAATATATGTATTAATGGGACATACAAAACATGGTTTTATAGCTGCACTCCTATATCCCTATGGTGCTCCCTGTAAAATAAGTACTTTAAAAGCAGAACCAATCAATTTAGGTGTTCTAATGGTTACGAGGACGTAACTATAAAATTCAGCATATCTTTATAGCTAAGGAGGTCCATTCATGAAATGCTGAGGCTCCACTATTTAAGCTGCATACATCCAACACACTTATGTTGTTAGCAGCAATTACACCAGTCAAACTTTCCTCTTCTGTTACTGTCTATATTACGAGAAGCTCATTTACTGGGGGTTTTGCCGAGTGCATTAAGTTGTGTCTGTGCTAAAACACCTGTAGAGGAAAGCAATCTGAGGCAGGATTTTTCATACACCCAGTATATTTGCATATGTCACCCAGAGCACTGAAAATTAACTACTGGCGATGAAAACCAAAGCGTTTGGCAAAGGTTTCTAGATACAGAATCACAGAATCTTCTAGGTTAGAAGGGACCTTAAAGATCATCTTGTCCAACCGTCAACCTAACTGACAAAAATAGACACCCACACAACAAACAAGAAGCATCACCATCACTAAACCATACCTCCCAGCACTACATCAACCTGTCTTTTGAACACCTCCAGGGATGGTGCCTCAACCACCTCCCTGGGCAGCCCATTCCAATGCCTGAGAACCCTTTCAGTAAAAAATTTTTCCTAATATCCAGCCTGAACCTCCCCTGGTGCAGCTTGAGGCCATTTCCTCTTGTCCTGTCGCCTGTGACTTGAGAGAAGAGACCGACCCCCACCTCTCTACACCCTCCTTTCAGGGAGTTGTAGAGAGCAATAAGGTCTCCCCTCAGCCTCCTCTTCTCCAGCCTGAATAACCCCAGTTATACGTTCCAGATTACAGCTATTTAAATGATCAATTCGCAGGGGATGCGAGCAGGCAGTTGTATATAGTTATAAAAACACATCCTAAACGCGGTACAGGCAGTAAAGCGGTGCGGCTCACTCCACTTCTGGGTGGAAAAGCAGCAAAGGGGGAAGTAACCACTAGGAAGTAAAAACGTGCCGGTGTAAGGTCGCCATGAGGAAGAAAAAGGCACGGCGCTTTCCTAATGAGCAACTAATAAGGGAGATCAACAGAATCAAGGGAAACCCCCTCCCCACGTCCACCGTCCCCGATCCCTTTCCCTGCCCCCCAGGCAGGCCGGGGACGGCAGGGCCTCAGCCCCGGGGACACCGGCGCCCCCGCCCTCAGGCTCAGGAGGGGCGGCCTCACCGCAAACCCGTCCCCACGTAGCCTCCCCGTGCGCCCCCTCCTCCCCTCCCGGCGCTGTCCCGCTCACCATGGTGCTCCAGCCGGCCCCCCCCGCCGCCCCTCCAGCCGCCCGGCCCGGCCCCGCTCCCAGCACATAAATCCGCCGCCGCCGCCGCTCCCGCCGGCTCCCGCCCGGCGCACGGAGGTCACGCCAGGACCCCCCCTACTCCTCTTCCCGTCACACCGAGGACCCCCATCTTTGAGCTGACTAACCCACTGCCTGCGCGGGCGGGCCGGCAGCGTGCCCGGATGGCGCCTCGCCGTTCGCTTCCCCCGGGACTACTGGAGGGAATAAGATTGAGACCATGGAGAAATGCCCACCGGGGTAAGCGGCTCGCCGGTTTCTTTGCGCCATGTCTGTCAGGCGCTGCGCGGGCAGCCGGCGCAGGGCGGGCGGGGCGCATGCGCAGAAGAGGAGGATGAAGCCGGAAGTGCTGTTGAGGCGGCGCACGAGCCGCGGGGTTGTTCCCGCCCATCCCCCGTAATGGCGGCGGGTACCGGCTGTCCCTGAGGGGAATACGAGGGTCTAGCCAGGCATTCCGACAAGCCCTGAGGAGAGTGAGGCCGCTCGCCTCCTCCCGGCCCCTCCGGTGTGGCGCTGAGGCGGGAGCCGGTTGGCCTGAGGGAAACGCGGCCTGTGTCTGCCTTCCCGCCGCTCTCCCGAGGCGGAGCGGTGTCGCCCTGTCACCTTTGGCGCGTTTACCGCATGGTTCCTGTCATAAAAAGGGGTTTTCCTTCACAGCCAGCCCCAAAAGAGCAGCGACAAACTGTGGTCGCCCTCACTGGAATAACAAAACGGCTTTCCTGCAAATCCCACTGCTTTTAATGTACCCTCCTGTGTGAACTGGGAACTGCAGTGCGGCCATTCCGCTTGCAGCGATAAGTAGTATTTTTGTAGAAAATATTTATCCACATCCCTTGGTATTTTGACAAACTTTTCCCTGCCTTTCAGCGAATCCCAAGGGTCGGATTCACAGCAAGTCTAAATCTCCGCACACAAATACCGAGGAAAAGATGATTTAGTAACGTCTTAACAGCTGTCACGGAGACTTACCAACTGTGACAATCTGACATTTTTAATTGTTTCTTTGAAGTACGTGGCAGCTAAAAGAAAAACCCAACAAACCCCACTCAACATCACAATAATAACGGAGCAAACAGACCTGGAAGGAAGTCCTCTCAGATACGAGAGATTATAGTACCGGGGACAAAGACAAAACAATTCTGACTTCTTCAAACCATTTCATTTTAGTCAACAAGTCTGGGGCCTCCCAATTTATTAACACTAATCTGATGACATTTGTGGCAAATGTAGCAGGGTAGAGAAAAGCACTGTTGGTTTAAGAAAACAATAAATTATGAAGGCAGTCAATGTACACAGGTAATCATGTGTTCCTGGCATACAGAGAATACTGAAGAAGATTAGTAAATTCTTAATTTTTTTAAGGAAAGCTATGACTGAAAAGCATTATTGTTACTGTAGGAATAATAAGATCAGATGTATTTGGAGAGCAACTGAAGTGAGACACATTTAACACTCCCTAACACAAAAGTCTCAAAATTGTGTGTCTTTCGAAGAAAATGAATAACTTGCTCGTGGATCTCTTTGGCATGAGATATCATCTCTGATAAGAATTGGGAGGCATTTTATGAAAAATAAGGCATTGAAATTTATCACCAAGCCAAGTTGTTTGATTAACTGAAATAGGAGTTACATATTGGTTGGCTTGGACTCCAACAAGCGTGATTTCAGAGCCTTCGTATTTTAATTCTAGTGTTGCTTAAAGGATGTTCAACAAAAGCGGTCAATATTCACACAAAAAAAAAAATTAGGCCAAAGTTGTTGTAATTACTGTGCAAAAATGCATTTTTGTCTGGAAGGACTTATATGGGCTGAGCAGGACCTTTGCAGCAAACAAGCTGAAGGAGATTATCCAATTGTGGTCTTGGCATCTCCGTTTACATTATTCCACATTGCTAAATTCTCTGTTCCTCCAAGTTACCATTTCTTCTCCCACACTGAGTATTGTTGAACCTCTGTGGGAAAAAAATCAGTTTTTTCCCTGACATGCAAAATGTTATATGGCAACTAGCGTGACAAACTCTACTTTAAGCAGACATAAGTGTGCCAGTTTTGCTGAATGGACGCTGACATCACACCATTAGGGGTTCAGAAGCATTTTCTGCGTGTGGAAAGGAGCCGGACTCACAACACTGATGAGCTCTGAGAACAATTTCATTGCAGTCTCTACAGGCTTCTTCCTCGAGCTCAGTATTGGAGCTGACCACTGTTCCCACCTTCTTTACAAAGAGCATTTCCAGTGCTGTGATTTGAGAGGAGCTGTTCCATCGGCGGTTTAAGTGCGTGTGACCATAGTGATGCTGCGCCACGGCTCTCATTCTGCTGCTGTGGCCACACAAGTGATGACTTCCAGCAAAGGAAGTGAGGGAAACATCATCGTCTTAATCAGATTTAGTGAGAAAATATCTAAATAGGGTCCTCAGCCCTCGAAGTTCCTCATGATGCCACAGTTAATGACTTGTCCCTTTTGTATCCAGCAGAGCTTTACTGTTCCTGCTGCAACTGCATTATGAAATGACTTAGCACTCTCTGATACAGCAGTCTTGCTCCAGACAAAGGCAGAGTCTCAAGGAAATGGAGAGGAGGAAAGCTTCGATCGAGGAGATTCCCTTTTTTCAAGTCAAGAGCTAAGGAGATCTCATCTCGTGGTTATCTGTGGCACAGCACTTTGCTGTCAGGGGTTGGGGGCTTTCGGTGACTTCCCTCTCATCCTCATCATTTGAAAGCGATAAAATGTTATAAATGTTTTTGAAGAACGCATTTTATCTCACAGCTTCCCACACACCAAGAAATCTTTCTCTGGAAAATGAGCCTGGGAGGAGAGGAGTAGAAATGCTTACAGGCACAAGAAGTCTACAATGTAATGTTAAAGCAAGGTGACCGAGCTGCTTAAACAAAATTTAAAAAGAATATTTATTTTATTATACCATCTACAGTCCCTAGATGACAGAACATGAAGCAGAAGGTAAGCTTAGATCAACAAGGCCCAAGTCACCTAATAAAAAAAAAAAAAGGAATGCAGTTTACTTAGCAGTATTTTAGAGCAAGTTACAGGAAAACATACCAGAAAAAATTAGAGCTTCACTTCCTACCATATGCTGGGATTTCAGTTGTCCAACATAAGCCAAAACATAAAACATGTGTTTGGCGTTAGAGTTTAGCCACCAGGCAAGGGACGTTACTACTACTGTTTTGTGAACAGGAACCTGAGATAAAGCCTGGGCTGACCTAAAATCACTGAATTTCTCTATAGGTGAGCAGATCTCTCTAAATACAAGAAAAATTGCAGTCCTGTGTCAGTACAAAGTTTATTTTTTAAGGAAACAGTGAGAACACACGTCATTGCAATGTGTTCTGTTTATTCTGAACCTTCCATTTTGAGGGATTCTTTCAGTTTTTGTAAGGTCAAGACTATTAAGAGACTCACTTAAAACTTAATTCAACACATGAGAGGATATTGAAGAAGAATGGTGGCAAAACCATCAAAATCTGCTCCAGAGAGGGCTCATTAGTTTCTTTTTTGAAAGACAACCTGTCAGACTGGAAAGTTTCCATTTAGATGAATAATCCTGTATCTTCTAATTAGAATAAAAATATTTCCCAGCATTTTAAAATAAAAACATAAGCATTTAGCATACAAAATGGGAGGGGGTATAACTGATGGTTCGCTTGACCTAGGTAGGTGGCTGCTCAGCTTATTTAAACTTGTTCTGTGAATAGTGGGGCTAATGAAGCTTGGTTTCTTGTGGATTTCTATCTCATGATTGACAGATTAGAAATGCAAGTTTCTGTTTTAAGAGTGTGCCTGTTTGGGGCATTTATGATGTTGCTGGCCTACATACAGGCAGTGTAATTATAATTGAGAATGTTACTTTACAAATGCATTTGATACAGGCCAGTGGGTTCCAAACTGAATGAAAAATCACTTACCAGCCTACAGATGCACCTTATTCAGATGTAAGTTTACATATAGCCACACGGCAGGAACATGTATGCCTCATTTTCATAGGAAATCAGGCGGCAGAGAAAACACTTGCATTTGTGCCACCAGTGTGTTCATTTCACCTGTTTTACCATGCTGTGAGACAGAAAGTTATGACTACGAGGGTGGTGGGGTCATTTTTGTCTGCTGATGTGTGTAGTAAATCACCTCACAGGATCTTGGTCTGGCACGAGTTTTCAAGATACTAACCCCAGCCTCTATCCCACTTTGAAATTACGAAGAAATTATTTTAACTATGTATGAAACTGCATTTTTTTATATCTTGGTTCCCACGGCTGTGCAATGCACTCACACATTCACACACGCATATATGTATATTTATATGTACACAAAACTTGTATTATCTGAAACGGGTGCCCTTCCAAACGGGAACACAGCAGACAACAGACAAACTATAGGCTTCGAATTGGCTGCTGAAAAGAAGGTGCTCCTCATTTTAAATGCTGTGGATCGCTTCTGAAGTGGTTACTGTTCTCTTCAATTAAGCTAACTTGAAATGTACTTTCTGGTAGCGAGCACAGGTTTCCTTTTTTTCCTACAAAATTACTGATTTCCTACAAAGTTCCTGAGCAGCGACTGCCGCCTTGCTGAGCAGTGCAGTAGAGCTAGAAAGGCCTGTGGTGTGTTGTGACTTCACTTAACCACTCTCTCTGGCAGTAGTATTTCCTTTTCAAAAGCACTGGGGGGTTTTTGATGTTCTCTTCTTTGTACTGTACCTTAAGGTTTGACCTACATTGTTTCAACGTGCCCTAAAGTGTTTGAAAAAATGAAGTTGTAACAGCAGCAATCAGAATGTAATTGTATCAGCAATGGGCCAGTATGTGCGACAGTTTCCCAGAGCAGCATTTCTGTGTAAATAATCTTACTGTTAGTGAGAGGACTACAAATGGGTGAAGTGTTCCAGATGCATAATGGAAAAATAGTGAGGTTTTTTTGGTATTTTGGTATCAGAGCTAGCAGCAGATGATGAACAG